TAAGTTAGGCAATGATAACTGCATAAAAATATGTTTATAAATCTGTACAAACCATACAACTTAACGAAACATCGCTCAACAGTTGACCCAAATTCTAAGTCCAATGTGATGCATCGCACTGAGCAATATCATCGGATGGCTGAAATTCCTTAGATTTGTACCTTTTGGTCACATTGCTATTTTAAACCCTCAACTTAAACAATGAAAGACCTCAGAAGAGTTTGAAAAATGTAAATAACTACGGTTGTATAAGTAATGTTTTATGATGTTACACCGTTGTACTACTACTACTATTATTGTGACTGATAAAACAGTTTTCTTAGTCCTAGACAATTGAGAGTATATAACAATATATCACAATAGTATATTATTAAGCTAATCACATAAATTCAGTTTTCTTTTTCTTTAAGAAAAAAAAGGAGTCTTGAGAAAAGAATGTAGTAATCAATAGCAATCATTATAGTGGTTGGTCATTTGTTTCAAACGACAAAAATAAGTAAAAATTGAAAGCAACCAATTACCAGTTATCTGGTCTTTGGACTGATATTTTTCTGATTGCTGACTGAACACCTTTCTGATTTACGTCCTTTCAAAATGTCCAATGATTATTTGGGACTTTGTTCAATAATTTAAGTTGATTGAATTAATGAGTCAAAAATAATATTCCAAATTAAGTCCAGTCTTACAAATTAAAATATCACTTGAGACGTTCGCAAGCATATATCTCAGTGCCCCTCGTGTACATTTTGTTCTGTATTCTGTAACAGACTAGCATAGTTCAGTTATTAATTAAATCCATATTCTTAAGACTACTGAGCATGCGTTTCCTATCCTCACACTTATCCAGCCCTTGATGAGAAAATGCTCTTTCGTTCACAATCGCTATTATTTAATTTTCGCTTTGTGTTACATGACTTATTCTGAAACGCGTCAAAAGTGATCAATAGAAATCTGCGAACAATGAAAATCATCTTCATTTTACTTATTTTGGTGTTATTATTATTGTTATTATTGTTTCTTTAATAAATCTTTAATCTATCTATCCATTCAAAGTATGATGAAAATTGTCGAAAATCGGATTAAATATTTGTTATTGTCATGATTACTAAGGATTATAAATCATTATTGTTGTCCTAGGCATTTTTTTATTTGAAAGAACAGTTAGAAAAAAAACCCGAAAATAAATCAAGTAAAGAGAAAATCAATGATAATAATAATAATAATAATAAAGACAACAACACAATCCCTTGTATATTTTTTTCCGTTCTAATCCACCAACCCTCCTCAATCTGAAAACAACTATTACATTTTCTCCAATCGAACGCATTCAGTCAGTACTTGCATCACTTTGGGATTATTAACCTGAATCAATCACCGACTTAGTTCTTCGCGTATTTCACTCGTCTGTTCACTTATTTATTTTTTTCATTTTATCTTTTTCAAAGTTGGTGATTCTTATTTTTCCAAAAATAATATATATTTGGGGGAATTAAATTATATATATATACATTATATATATATATATATATATATATATATATATATATATATATATATATATATATATATGTACATATATGTGTTCATGATTAGGTTAACTATTTATTCTTTTCTTTATTTACCAATGAATACTCACTGAAATATTTTTCTATAGATCAATTTAACATAATAGGTTGTATGTTTATATATATATATGTATATCTACCTTTCTTCTTTCTTTTAAGTAGTTGTTTACAACAAACATTTTGTTGTATGACAATCAAAATAATAAATATTTAGTTTATAGTTGATTATATCAACATTCTGATGAAAATGTTCAACACTCCTAGTTGCACCATTTTCACTCTGATAACTTTTGTGTTATGTGCTATTAAGAACCAAGTGATTCAGTATTCAAAGACGTGATACCCAGTTTGATGCATGTCTTATTTACACTTACATTTTATTCTGTATCCTCAGATTTTATGTGTTTTTTCTTAACTGCATGATAGATTAGTGAGCGCAGTTTATAGGAGATTCTAAGCAGTTAATCATTTATCTAGTAGACCTGTAATATCGATTTAAAACGAAGGATGAGTCATCTGAGTTTACCTCTTCATCTGCATCTACAAATACAGCTGCTCTTTTGAGGTTACCTCTATTGGGCGTACTATCAAGAAACTTAACCAACAAGTTAGTAAGACATATCGCAGCTTGGTTTTGAAAGTGTCTGACAAAAATATCAAGAGCATCTATTTTGTAGCAGTGGTCATATAGTAGTTGAAAATAAATCATTTAGAATGATCTATCGTGTATCTTCACCATTGCTCATTGGGATTCGATCCCGTCCCCTCAGTCAGTCAGTCACTCAGACAGATGCAACGTAGAACTTCGTACGTAAGTACATCAGTTCATGTTGCCATACCACATCAGCACAGAGATATAACTGTCAATTCAAATCCAATAGTAGAAGAGGTAGTAAAGGTATTAGAAGTAATCGGATAGGTTAGAATTAGAAGATATTATTCAAGAAGTATGATTTAGTGAGATAAGGTTAGAAATTCAAAACTAGAGGTGTTGAAGAATCCAGAGGTTTAGGATTTGAGAGAACACAAAGAATAAATGCACCTGCGCCATCGCAAACGATTTTGAGCCATGTCATTCAAGGTCTCTAACCATCGATTATTATCATCTCGCGGACCCCAACCAGGTAGTCGACAATTACCGACATGGCTAAGTCCACTCGTCAATGACTTGATGGATTTCTACCATGTTTTGGTTTGGCCGCCCCTGATCCTGTCTCCTTTATGAAGCAAATACTACTTGGATCCTTAAGTTTAAGTTTAAGAGAAATTCATGACATCTCTGTTTCCTCCTGGGCCAGATGAATGATTTTATTACTGTTTTTCACGTTCCATATTTGTTTGTCATTTTTGACTGCCATTTGTCTGTGTTACTGTCTAGTTATTTGCACACTTCTCATTCAATAAATTTAATAATATTTGACCCATTACTCCTTATGTTTAACTATTGACTTATCACTGGCAGTAAACCTCTTCTTATCTTACTATTAACTTGTACTTTTTGCCTTTTGTGTAGTTACGTAATCTATTTTATTATGGCTATTTTGACTCATAAACTGCCTGGATTGGTGAAATAGGAAAACGACTAACATTTAAAATCATAATTTACAATTAGCATTTCAACAGCTTATTTGAAAAAATCATAAAAAGGCAATTTAAAAAAAAATACATAGTAACAAACTATGTGGAAATAATGATTTCTGTCTTAAAAGAATTCAATGCTTAACTGAATCCATTGAGATTTTCTTCCATTTAAATTACAATAGTTATTCATTTCACTTAAAATATGAAAATGAAGTCATGCTACCAGTAATCAAATCTCTTAATTTATCGGATAAATTGTACGTATAGAATTATTTAGTGAGATATATACACGTTGTATATTGCATATGTGTGGGTGTAGAAAGGATTCGATTGTGACCAATTCGGTCTCGTGTGCTGTCACGGATATGAGGGCGGTTGTCGCTTCCCGGCTGCCCACACCGTGGAAGGTTGTTTCTTGAGGGAACTGAAAAGGAAGATAGATTAGTGTTGGTCTTGGAGACCTGGGTGCATGACCGCAAAGCCCAAGGGACAACTGATTGAGGCCGGTCACGCACGGCATTTTTATGAAAAGTTGTTTGAGTATTAGCTCCGCTCTTAAAGACCCTTAGTGGGCACCCTTACCGACGGAGACGGAAATCCGTGAGGTAGGGTGAGGTGTGACATTTTTAGGGTCGACCTTTTCTAACTCATCCTTCCTTGTGAGAAGGCAGAGTCGTTGCAGATGCTGGTTGTGTGAGGGAAACAGTACTGCTGTCACACCCTTCTGCAGTCAGCAGTACGACTTCGCGCTCAGACCTTAGGTAGCTGCTTTTAGTCTCATCGTTCTCCAATCGACCAGCCTGTCATGGTAGGACCTTCAGGAACATATGTTCCAGCCAGTATAGCTCTGTTGGGTCATCACGATAGGCAAGCCCGACCACCACGTCAAGGTAGCAGCTACGGTCGGGCTTAAAAACCCTTAGTGGGCACCCTTACCGCCGGAGACGGAAATCCGTGAAGTAAGGTGGTGTGACACTTTTAGTCTCATCGTTTTCCCATCGACCTGCCTTGCATGGTAGAACCTTCAGGAACATATGTTCCAGCATTTATTCTTTATGTTCTCTCAAATCCTAATCTTCTGGATTCTTCAACACCTCTAGTTTTGACTTTCCAAACTTTTATCACTGAATCATACTTCTTGAATAATATCTTCTAATCCTAACCTCTCCAATTACTTCTAATACCTTTACTACCTCTTCTACTATTGGATTTGAATTGACAGTTATATCTCTGTGCTGATGTTGTATGAAAACATGAACTGATGTACTGACGTACGAAGTTCTACGTTGCATCTGACTGAATATATTGCATATTGTTTCGACTAGTGCTGTTTTTTTGGAAGCTCTCGATAAATTACTTCCTTTCTAAAATAGACATTTGGTCAGTCATCATCTTGCAATGACTTGAAATGCTGTCAAATAGCAGTAAACAAATAACTCAATATATTACAGGATAAGTAAAAAACGGACAAGGGTAGTGAGCCACCAATTTCTCAGCACACTGCTATACATTTACTATATACAAAACCTTCGTACTTGATGTTTTCGATAAAGTAGTGGAGTAATTAAAAAAACCTCAATAGCTGGCAACATTTACAAAATAAACTATTGTTTACTGTCATGCGCAGATACATCCTCGGTCATAATACATTGTTAGTCAATTTGTGATTTAAATAAACAGACCAAGATGAAACATAAACCTCTTGCTACAAGATTATCTTTACTGTTTTACTCACTTACTGCAATCCCATTAAATGTTCAGCATAAAATGATCATGGATGTGATTTTATTGATTTTCCTGATTGAGATTGTTGTATTTAGTGTTTATTGTTGATTTTTGTTCACTTCTTTTTAGTTCATGAATTACTCAGCAGTGGAGTCTGTCCAGATGTAGCCAACGAAGACGGGTTAACAGCATTGCATCAGGTAAACCAATTTATGATTTGACGGTTTTTATCAGATTAGTCAACATTATATCTACTATTGTTTAACAAAAAGGATTATTAATCGTAAACTGATTATTTATCAATGAAATCAATAATAATTTTATTCATCTTGTCACATTCTGTTGAAATTAAGCTTAGTTATTATTCGGAAGATATAGTGTCGAATCGCATCTTATCTACTAGATATTATATATTACATTATATTGTTAGTACTATGAGATCAGATAACGAGAATAAAATGAAGGATTTATGGTATATATTTTTTTTACCTTACCAGTTCACATCAATATATTTTACTTGTAAATTCAAAATTCCCCATTTTCGATATATATTTCGTTAAATATGTCACAATAGTAATCTAACTTCTGACAGTAGCAAATAAGGTTTACAAACAAATTATATTGATAGTTAATAATACCATGCTTTCACCTATAAACCATTAATTTTAAAGTACTACTGTGAAGTTATAGACCAAGGTTATAAATCAATAGACTCTCTCAACTTATTCCCAATTATCAAAATAAGTCTTACTTGCATGCATTATACCAGATCAACTGAATAATTATTATTCTCATTCTTTTTCTTTTAATAAACACTTAATTTGGTAGTTAATAGTTAGAACAATATTTTATACAAGCAGACATGCTACTCTTTTGCTAGAGAGGAAGGAGTATTTGATGTTTATGTACATTTGAAGTAGGGGAGAAACCATCAAAATGCATGCTGTTCAGTCTTGTTTTTCTAAATTATATTTTTATCTGTATCCTAAAAGTGGCACAAGGCTGAAGTATGTTTTTAGACTGTGCGAATTGAGGAAGTACTGTCAAGTACTACTGAAAAATTGAACTTAATTGTATTTCCTGTTTACCGAAGTTAGAAAATAACTTGAAAAATAAACAAAAATTTTAGTGTAGATGTATATATATATATATATATATATATATATATATATATGTAAGGACACAACGACAAACACTAGTACTCTAACGGTTATGGTGTGTAATATTTTCGCTGCTACTGTCACCAAACAACTATGTATAAACCTATTGAAGTTATGTACCATAATATTTTACTTTATCAGTTTCATATAATGATGAGCGTAACTAAGAAAAATAACTCCGAGTTGAAACTGACTCAATTCTCCTTATTTTATGATTATTTTCTAGCATAATTTTATTGGGAGTAGAAATGCACTCTGGGACTCGAACCTAGTACTGTTCGTTTCAAACTCCGCATGGCTATTGAGTCCAGATGGCAGCATACTTGTGCAATGGAAAGGTTTTGACTTATCCAGTTGGTAATATTCTGACTGAAATGTGATCAATTTTAGTTGGCATATGAGCATCATACGCAGATTGCCTCGAATCCTGGAGCGGAAATCAACTCTAACCTAATCAGGACGAAAAAACACGCGTCCTGGATTTCACTACTATCCACATCCTGTCTATTCCATGTAAATTTGTTTCCTAATGGTTATATCGAGGCAATCAGTAAAGAATGCCCATGCGACAACCAAGACTGAACAAATTTCAGTCAAAATATTGACAACTGGATAGTCGAACTCACTTCAGATCGATTTAATTTAAAGTGCTTTTTCGAGTACACTTTAATATACAATATTATTGTATTGTTGTTACATATCCTCTACATTTATATTATTCAAAAGAGAAATTTTCATGAATAGGTGCTGGGATTAATAGTAACTGAGGAGGAAGCATCAGAAAATGTGAGGGTAGGGCAAAAAAGAAGCTATTAATGAACACAGACTATATCTTTTAATTTGTTCAATAAGAGATAAAAAAAACCCAGTTTTTAAGTATACCAATCCTTCTCCTTTTTAAAATAAATAACCTATATATAGCATGATATGTATTTTTATGTTCGTCTCTATTATCCTAACCATTTATACACATTAATATTTTGTCGTTACCAAATTTGGTGACTATAGATTTGCAGTGTCAGTCAAATCTTTATTTCAAATAAACGGAATGTTGATTTTCCAATGTCTGTTTCTAAATTTTGTAACAGGATTTCCGCTTATATCATGTAGAATTTTCTTGACATTTTAATTGGCTAACAAAGTTTGAAGTTGTACTTAGGCAGAAGTTAAGACAATAGTACCAATTTCGTAAAAACTAATCCAACAGTGAATAACTCTAATCTAAATAGTAACAGTTTAATCTGGAAAGTAGTTTTAGTCAAGTAATAAATCTCAAACAGGATAAAGTTCACTTGTTGAATCCCACTTTAAACCCCCTATGTTTACTCGAAAATTTCACATAGTTCATCAACTTTTCTGCTGAACTACAAAAAAATATCATGAAATTAAAAAATAGTCAGTCGAAAAGAAATTCTGTCACAAAATATCTCTATTTAATTTAACACCATCCCTAAATTTCTCATCTGTCATTATTTTCACTTAATAGTTAGCGTTAAAATTCAATGAGAAAAACAAAATACAGTTTAGACGATCATTTCAGCATGCGAAGATTTATTTTCCAAATAACTATGAACAGAATTGTTGCTGAATGTATGCTTAATATTGATAAGGTCCGTCTATTGTATTTTGTAGCTAAGGATTTAGACCTTAAGCAAAACTATTTGACGATTATTCAGAGTATATATTATAGTGAACAGGATTGGTTTGCAACGAAACTGCTTGCATATATATATCAAGAAACCATCTATTAAATTTATTTTCACTGATTCACACTGCAATCTGTCCACTGATCGATCTATAGCAACTTCTTTCTCAATTTATGATTGTTCTACAATTCAAATAAATTTGTGATTAACCTGACCACCGAAATACTAACATATCTCCACGATATGCAACTTGGTCGCTACTTGTCCCTAACTTGAAAAGTTTCATTATCGTTCAACTCTATAACACACCTTATCATTTATCTTTTAACTGAATTGAAAAAATTTGATCATTTAATTTGGCCTTAATAATCTAATGTTGTTTAAATGTTCTACAGTTGACGTCATTTCATGATCACAATTACGATCGTTATATACACAGTTATTTTATGCGATACTCTTAATTCATGTCAAAATATTAATTTTTTTTTATTATTGCGAAAAGTCAAATATTATTCTATTCATATTTAGTTTGTTAATAGTTTGAGTATATTCTTGACAGGAAACATTTAATCTTTTCGAGGTCCTACAAAAGAAAATATTGATTCATTTACATTTACCATCAAAATGTATCGTGACTTCTTGGTGCTTTTAATTTTTCCCATCAATTTTTCACAGGATTTTGTTCACTAAACTCATATTAGACAGCTCAGTTGTTCTAAGTCAATGCATTAGATAACAAGTCATACCTTTGGGTATACAGCTTAGATACAATGGAACCTAAGTCATGAATGTAGGAAATGACAATGAATTACAACAGATTACTCATTAATTGGAAATATGCTCTCTCTTTAGCTGTAGAACAGCTAAATATTGATGACAATTTTACAATGATAGTCTTTTTAACTCTGTATTAGTCAATTTTATAAACTATGATACAGCGATGGAAATTTCAAATTTTTTTTTGAATAGGACAAATCAATCTAATGTTCATATTAAAAATTTAATCACATAGAAAATATTTTGTTAGGATAATTAAAAGGTCATTTGTCACAACAATTATACAACACCTATATGAGAGAATATATATTGAAAATCGATATGATTTTTACGCTCTAATAATTCAGATAAACATCATCCATCCATCATTTTTTTTTCGGACTAACTTATCGAAACAACTTTTATTTCAGCATTATAACACAACAAACAAGATAGATTTTCTGGTTATTTCATGAATTGTGCAATATTCTTCTAAAAAAAACTATTTTTTCAGTGTTGTATTGATAACAATTTGGAAATGTGTCAGCTACTTCTACGATATGGAGCGAATCCTAATTCTCGTGACACAGAATTATGGACCCCATTGCATGCGTCAGCCACATGTCATCATACAGATATGTGCAAAATCCTGATTGATCAGTAAGTCACAGTAATATTTTGGTCGATTTTTTCCATTAAAGACTCGAGGATTTAAATAACTATTAAGTGAATCTGAAAAGTTTTATGAAGTTATGTTTAATCCTTTTAGTTCAATGAACTTAAAAACTTTTTCGCCTTGTTTTAAAACTCCTCAAAAGTGTATAAACATGACTCTGCAAGAAGTTGAGTGAGTCGCCTTTAAACTAGTTACCCAACCTTAAATGATCTATATATCCAAAAGTATAATATGACGATTATTCCACAATCAGTGTAACTACTTTCCATCAGTCGATGCTCCGGTCCAGAACATCAAACGACGTTCATCACGAAGCAATGGCACTTACAAAGAAGTGATCCTATTTTCGTTGAAAGTTTTTATAGAGATTGGCTTATTTTAGTTCACAATCACACTATCCAGCTAAGAAAATATAATGCCTTCATTATTTCCTACTTAAACTACAAATCGTTTTCACTATCTGACTTCAATCTGATAGTAAATAAGTGATGAATGCTAGAAAAGTAATCAGTTGTATTTAGAAGATAAGAAGGAAATGATAATACAATCAATATATTATCTTCGTCTTTTCGTCAATTAGAATATCTCTTCACAAATCTAATCTTGCTTATTCACTTAGAATTTTGACTACCGATTAGTTTACCTAAATCACCAAAAGAACCAGTGACCTAAGAGTTAATTGACCAACTGACCAATTATTAACAACTAAGATCTGTACGCTTATTGACCCTCGAGCGTCTGATCCAGTCAGAAGAGGCAAGCTAATTCTCGATAATACTCAATTCAGCCATTACTCAAAAGTCGTACAATCATCTACCTAAAAAGTCTAATCACATAGCACACCAAATAAGCAATCCTACTTTAAATAATTGGTCATGTTATAAGTAGTAAACGATGTGAAGTAAAAAAATCCACAATAACTAGCAATGATTAAAGAACTGTAAAACATGTAACAAAACGGTTAGTAAGTACATTGGAAATGTGCAGTAACAGAAACGAGACAACATAGTTATCTAATAATCTAAAAATAAAAATATAGATACACTATTAAGTTGGAAAATACTACCGAAAGTTTTGATTTTTCCAATTTTTAAGTCGGTTAGAACAGAAATTCTAGTACGATACAAAAAAAAAAATAAATTCAACTAAAGTACTTTAATCTCACGTTTTTTTTGTTGTTGTTGCTAAAAACACTAACAAATGTTGTAAAAGAAATTACTTTTTCATCCTAGTGTTTTTTTTATATGGTGAAAATACTCTATCATTTTATTTATACAATTTCGATAGGCGTGTTTGAAATACTGCCATACTTCATTTAAATCTATTCAATTGTTTAACTTGAAATAAATATTTACGTATTTGATAATGAGAGTGAGGATTATTCTTAAACACATGAAATCGTTTACTATTCAATGCTCGGTGTATTTCATCGTTTTGGGAAATACAATCAAGTTGTTAATAACTCTCCTAAAACAGTATTCACTCATCTTTGACACCGAAGCCAACAATAATTTGCAAAGTATACCACTGAAATTAGGTAGCCGGAAAAAATTATTACCACGATTGTTATGAAGAAAAAATCTCAAACCGCTTGTGGTGGATATGGGCTCACTAATCGTGACTTTGTACACTGCTCGTCCTGATAAACTGTTATTAAAATGTGAGCCATTAGATGCTTATTCAATGGTCTGAATGTTAAATAATCCCTCAATGATCTGAATGTTGTTGATTTTGATCATAGGTATGGTGCAGAGTGCTCACTATATTAAGGAGCCTTCTAATATAACGAAACAGATTCTCAGTGCTTTTTGGTTTTCACTGATTGTCTAATTAAAGTTGGTCAATGTTAAGACAATGGCAGTTGAATTTCAACAATTTTATTGTTGATAATGAACATAGTTCTTTTGATGGCTATGGATTAGTTGTTTACTTTGAATAATACAAAAAATGTATCTAAGGAAAATTATTACTTCTACTCCTAATGTTTATCATTTTATGTTTTTTATCGTTTTCTGTAGCGGTGCAGATCTACTGGCTATGAATGTTGATGGTAATATGGCTTATGAATGTTGCATGCCTGGACCAACATTAAATCTAATAGAAACTGAAATGGATAAAAGAGGTCAGTTTGTGAATCACGGGGAATTTACCGATCATTCAGGTCACAGATCGTTACTAGTTGAGATATTTTTGATTAATAGAGAACGGTAAACAGTGAATAACTCTAGACTATTTTTCATTTATGACACTGTCATAGATTGAACCTAAGATCTTCATGCTTTTTCGCAGTAAGCTTTCATTTAATTAAGTTGACATCTATTGAGCTAGACTTTTAATTCCATTGACTTACAATATCAAATGCCTTTGATGTTCTTCAATCCCCTTACCCTGGATGTGAATGAACTCCACTAGTAAGAAATTAATCTTGAAGCCAGTCAGTACTGACTGAACAATTGTAATTTCCAATAAATGTTCTATTGTAATTGTTTCAATTTATACTCATTTGTACAAACTCTGAATCAAATAGGAAATTTTTCTATGCTTTCAAAAAGGTATACAGTCAGCTTTTTGCCAGTATGTGATGTTTAAAGAAATAATGCTTTATATACTTGAACTGATTAAACGGAAAATCATAGGTCTAGTCCTATCTAACACTGTGCTTAAGCCCTACTGAAAAGCTCAGAACTAGGCAGAAATAAACTTTATTGTAATGGGTATCTTCTTTCGGAATACGCCCTTAGATTGAAGTATTAGTATTATTCTATTCCATTAATTTCCTGATTTTGTTGTGTTTTGCTCAAGAATTAATTTTCCTATGCTTTGTCTTTCACTGTTATCTACTCCATTTGATTCTTATCTCGTCTTTTCCCTGTCATGATGTTAATATAATGTCTGCACTCTTTAAAACTGACCATTATGTCGTAGTTTTCAAAAGTACTTCACCTGCTGTCAGCTTAAGATGTAAATTATTTTGATCATTACATTATCCCTATATTAAATTCGTAAATAAATGAATGAAGACTATTGATTTAAAAAAAATTCTAATCTTGTTCCACTGTTGCACATTCAAATTAATGGTCTAAAAGAATAATCAAGTTTCAGACAACTACATCTTTTCGAATTTTAGTGTATAAATGATAGGATTATGAATGAAAACTGTACTGGACATCGAATCTAGGCTGTAGATGGGTCCAGTTAACGAGTCCCAAATAGGACGAGACGCGTGTCCTGGATTCCACAGGTAGACACTGTCCATCTCTGCTTTAAAATGTTTTTTTAAATTTATTTGCCTATTCTGAGGCTATACTGATTTCCTGAAGGTATAAAGGCTAATAACACAAAATTTTCCAAAAGCTTTTTAAATGCTTGCTTAAGTAAGTATAACTTAAAGCCAAACCGTCTAGTTTGCGTTCTTTAGGTAAATTAAACAGCACAAAATAGTTTGTTAATTAGAGAATTGAAAATATAACTCAGCTCAATCGATTTAATAAATGTTCTGACTGCTTAATGTATCAGATAGTGACGAGGTAACATAAGTTCGCATATGTGTGCGTGTAGCGTTGAGGGTATGCTGGCTAACAATTTGCTAAACGTTACATATTTTGTTACATTTGCTTTAGATGATTGGCTAATTATGTGAACATATACACACATTATGTAATGCACATTTCTATGTGCATAACGTGTACACACGTTCATATTTATGGACCTCTAGACTCTTAAACAATAAATAACTGAATGTATGTGTCTGGTGGCCTAATTAAGACACTCAACTGCTAGTTTGTATTCTTGCTTATCGTTTATCGATTTCGAGCGTTTTTTTTTTAAGAGAACGCTATTCTAGATTTAATTTCATATTAAAGTGGTCATATGCGTTGAGATTCGCTATTGAAATGATTCATTTATGCATCTACGCCAGTTGAAAAATTTGTACCATAGTATCATAAACGTTTTTGATTTAACTCATGAAGTAATTTCTTTTGAAGGACCATTGAGATTAGGGTGTTCAAGAAAACCATTTCTTTCCGTTTCCAAGCTTCTTAGTAGAACACTTCATCAACCCGATCAGGAACAGAATTTCAGGGCTCTTGGCAAGCTCCTTACCTTTAAACCACTGACTTGACATTCAGTGGTCTACATTCCCACATATACCTGATTCGCAATAAAACACAACATTGTTAGGTACCAACATTCACAGCTTTGGAAACTTATCTAGAAGCCAATTATCGAAGTAATGTGATGTCAACCAATGAATAAAGTTATAAAATAGAAGTAGATGAAGTATATCCCAACTTTACTTCATAAAATCATCTCAAACTATTGTGGTGTGAGCTATTTATAAGTAGTATATGACGTGAGCGTCAACGTAATGTCTGGCAACGGGAGATGGGGGAAGATCAAGAAAGGAAGAGTTAGAAAACAATGGAATTTATATGAAACGCATGAATAGTGACAATGGATTGATGTTTGGTAACAGGAACAGTCCAGTTCGATAGGATGAACTGATATTTTGCAATTGAACAATTTACGATATGGTTTTCCAATTTTACTGAGTAACTCTGTAATTTCGCTAAATACAATTCGGTTGCCCCACCTGTGTTCTCGTTCACTACTCTATGATTCTGAATAGAGCTGTACTGAAATAAAAGAGGCGTCAACATTGTAAGGCTTAATTATATAACATTTTTGTGACTTACTAGATATTGATTTATATTATGTACTAATTAGTCGGATTTCTTAACCTTGTTCTTATTGTCTTAAAGCCTTCAACTGGGTACTAATTCACTGTGTGTTCGAGTTTATCTGTTCTAATCCATTATAACAACATGATTACAAACTAAATATGACCAAATCAGTACGTGAATAATCTAGATTCACTCAACATAAACACTTACTAGATTAAAAGGTTCTATGGTTTTTCATGCTTCGCTGGCTCAAGTTGGTGTAAGGTGAGAATATGCCTTCAAGGATACATAAGTATTTGTAATACTATGTAATTCACTTACATGCTGTTGCAGCTTAATAATCAACTGAGTGATATCTCATGGAATCAAAACTTTTAAGCATATCATATTTCCGATTTGATTTGATGTGGAAAAATAATCCCCCGAAAAAAGACCTAAATATTATATTGATGCATGTGTTTTTCTTCTACAAGGTATAACACAAGAACAAATAGATAATTGGCATCGGGTACCAGAATGTGAAATGCTTTCAGATATGGAAGCTTTATACAAATCTGGTGCAGACCTTGATCGATTGGATTCACAAGGAGCATCTATGGTGAGTAAAGCTAAGTGGACTTCGTCTCATTATTTCATATGGGAATGAGTTAGTTTTCAGTTTACTGATTATTATTTTTGATAAACGTGAGGATAAACTTTCACAGTAGGGAGATGAAGTATTTCACCAATAATAATTTAGTATTTTTTATATATCTCAGATCCTAGGAAATGCAGTTCATTGGCTCAAATAAGTTTAATTGCCTAATAATCTCTCTCTCTTCAGTGAGCGGATGTTGAATCAAATCAAAAGCTTTTCAGTGGTGTTATTAGTATCTGAATTTTAAAGTGAAGCATGAGTGAGAATTCCACATTGTACGAAACATACAATAGTAAATAAAGCCATTTAATAACAATAGTACAATAAAACAATCATTTAAACTTAAATCCATTCAGAATGTAGACAAACAAATGATTGTACATCAAAAATTTTTGTAAGATACTAAACGACTGAAAATTCAAAAAATAAATTATTCAATAAACTCTTTGTGCCTTTACTTTAAACTATTGAGTTTGAATAGTCCGCTAATAATGATTTATATTTCTAATTTCAATAAATCCAAGAGATTGTACATTTGTCATTGATCAAAAGCACTGTGACATATTCACTATTTAATCAGATCAATAGAATAAGTTCTATTTAACAGCTAAATCAATTCATGTGAGCTTTTTATTAGCTTTCTTGTTCATTACCTTCTAATTGTTGATTGGACTTTACGTTGAAGTTATTTGTTCGCAATTTAGCGTTAAATTACTTATACATACAGGGAACTTTTCTAAATACAAAAACATGATTTTACTGAAGACAAAAAATAAATAAATACAGATTACATTCATACCTTTCACGAAGTCACTTCAGTGTTGCTCAGAATTCAGCGGATGACATTCATTATCTTATCATCAAATTGTTGATTTCGATTTTTTTAAGAAGAACTTAGTCAAAATGCATAAAAACTTTACACTCAAACAAGGCCCAATTGAACCAGATCTATTGTGATTGAACTAAATTAATTATTCATTATTTTAATAATTAACATTGGTTGGTAATAATACTGATGATAAGTAGTAGTATCTCTCCACCTCAATTACTGCATTCTGCATGCTTCTCTTACAAATTATTTTGTAAGTTTACAGATATTCATATGGCTAGACAATATTGGCAATTGTACAATTGTCTTTATTTTTTGAGTGCACAAAAACATGATAGGTTTGCACATTGTTGTTCTTGTCTCAACAATTTCCGATTTGATGAGCATGAATACAAAATATGGTTAAATATAAGCTGAAACAAATACTAATATCGATTTCCAGGTGTAAGAAAAATTACAAATAGAATTTATTATAATCATAACGTGTCAACAACTATTCCTAGTTTTAAACAAATTCAACCAGAACGTTGTGATGAATTCTTTACTCAGTATTTTATGCTTCATTAAAATTCTTCATAAAACTTAAATTAATTTGTTTTTTGTTTGAAAAATATTGAACTATCACTTTGGTATCATCGATTGTGTGTATTGTCAATCACAGTTTATCATCCACAACGAAGCGATTCAAGATACATCCAACTTTTTCTCATCAAAATGTAGTTATAATTTGTTAAGTTCCAATGTAAAGTTCACAAATTCCATCGTCAACTGAACACTATTGAATAAGATAATTTATAGTAGGTAGAACATAATATACCAGACTAGACGTTCAATTCTCTTAAGGATACATACTATTTCTAATCTGGTTCAATATTCACTCTGTCAATTTTCTATCCAATATTCAACTTCAGTGAAATGATAATGTTTATACTTTTTTTTGTCAAATTCTAATCAATATTTCTTGAAATAAAAAGAGCTTTTTCTTTTTTTAGTTAACTGAAGATAATTTTAATGTGTTTATTTATCATCATAAATTTATGTTGTATATATACGTGGTAAAAACCAAGTAAACTTCTATGCCTGTTCATCTTGGTCACTTGCGCTTCATTGTTTCTCTACAGTTCTTATTTTAGAATATACTACTAACTAGTCGTGCGATTTCAGTGCTTTCTTTTTTTATCCTAATGAAAAAGGTAATTTAGACTTCTTATTATTATTGCTAGAAAGAAAGCAAGAATTCCACTCATTCTAGTCTTTTCTCAGCTCATCTCTGATGCAAATGATGTGTGTTTCAAATTCATTGATTAACCGGTAATTGATATCCGTTAGGCAGTGAATAAAATCACAGACGAGTTCGTAGGTTGGTTGGTTGGTATAAAGAAACGATGATATGTATGTATTCTTATGCATCAGTGCATAAGAATAATGGTAATAATAATAATCAATCACTATGTTAATAATGATAGTTTAGTGATTTTAACATGAAGTAATAAAAAAAAATTACAGAATATTTCTGAGCAAACTATTATTGTTTATTGATAAATCCTTGTTTAAACAGCTTTTCGAAATTGAAAAATTTCACGTTTTTAATCTAGTTTAGTTGTAAACAGTGCGAAAGTTCATCAATTTTAACACAACACAGAATCTTACTAACTTATTTATGCTTAGTTTGTGATAAAACAAAAAAAATGATGAATTTATAACTGCTGAACTTGATGATAAAGTGATTTAAAAAAATAAAAATTACTCACTCGAATACGCTTTACATTTGAATAATTCTAATACAAATTTAGTGTTGATGAGTTCACAGATTAATATAAAAATATATGCATTACATGATATTCAACTTATTTATTGATTTTACAAACATCAGCGAAAAAAAAACCCCGATTTACACGCTTTTTAACTTGACTAACGATGTTATCAATAATTCACTGTGCTGTACGTTTTTGGAAAGGAGACGTTCAGAAAGTAGTTGAGTTCTAGGCTTCTTAGAAGTGCATATTCATACCTTTAAAATTGAATATGGATCGGGATTTCTTTTCTTGTGATGACAACATAATGCCATAAGTTCATGAAATGAGAATTCAGTGACTCACATTTCTATATATTTATTCAACCTACAATATAACTTAACCATCAAACAACTTCATATGTAACAACTATTTGACTGCTGACATTTGGTACACCTACCCAGCCACGACATCCAGCTAGAATCTCGATTAGATTCACTTCAAGGCATAGGATCCTAAATTTGAGCCTGTGTGAGATCGTATGTGTGAACTTGCTGAGAAGTCCCAAACCAGTACGAAAGATTTGTTTGATGTTCTCTGGCTTCTAATACACTTCACTTGTTGATACCAGCTTCTAATACAATTTTTTGGTCAGCAGTATATTTCAAATAATTGTTTCATTCGCTTATTATTATTATTTGTAATTTTCTTAACTTTCAAAAAAAAAATATTTTGTTTGATAAAGTTACACATTGCAGCGGCTAGTGGCTTTGAAGAAGTTGTTTTGTTTTTGTTAAAACGTGGAGCGAAAATTGATCTACCTGATAAAGATGGTTGGCAAGCTATACATATTGCAGCTTGTTGGTGTCAAGTAAGTCACTTATCGTCTTTTATTTGGTATAAACACCACCTACTCATGAGTAGCTTATAGCTTTATAGAATTTATAAGTTCAAAACTTTACCATCTTTTTTTGAAATCACTAACGATCTGATTCAGACAATCATTGAAAATCAAGAACGACTCAACAGCTGTTTCATAATAGTATGGAAATTTTAGGAAATAGGCATCCACGACCCCGGATTCTGAGGATTGGAATCAAGACCTTTAGCATCAAAGAGAATACTTGACCTTTAGAACCTTGACACGATTTCTAATGGTGTACAAGTCTAACGTCCGCAATAATGAGCAACCATCAGTGGCTATCTTCGTCACACTTGATAAGTTAAGAACTAGACTGGTTACAGCTTTTTATTAGAACTCTAAGAATTTCTTCTCGAAACTAGTCCTTAGTGGGTAAATAACAGTTATGAGCTTGAGGATTATGAAAATTGTGTCAGTGAGGAAAAGAAGTATAACGCTAAGAATTCTCATTTCAATCTTCCGACTTAAATTAACACTGTTTAAGTGTCCTAGTTTACAATGTTTTCAATAATAATTTATACCAATTATAGACAGCAACAGTTGAAGTTTAAATAATTACTAAGTATCGTTTATATGTTGTTTACTTTCTATTGGAATTCACATTTACACGCACTAACATAATAAGTTTTCAATTTCTCAATGTCACTGTGTGAGTGGTTTATTCTTCACAGCACCACTATATACATATACATTTATATATATAACAATAAATGATGTAAAATATTCTTTAGAATCAAAGAAACAATTATCCAACCAAACTAGGGCTTACTTAACACTAATAATATTTTTATCTCTTGCGTGCTAATTTGTCTGATTAACATATAGTCATATTGTTTAATGGACATTCGTGTGTAATCTGTCACAGAGTGTGACCAGGTAGATTCCTTTATCAAAAAGAAGTTTTCATGTTTTAAACATCTTAAAAAATATAGGAATGTAGAAACGATTTCAAGTAAAATAGAAGTAAAATAAGATTTTTTGCGCCATCCACCTAGTGACTGTAACTAAATCGCATACACTGGTCTGATTGTGGCAGTCAATATCGATAATTTTTAACATAATAATTCACAAAAGTTTGTCTCTTTCACTATACACCCCTCACTGACTGAATTACAATTAAATCATAGAGTTGTAGATTAACAAAAATAATAACATTCCTCTCACAAATTTTTAAGCGAGAGAAAATATCCACCACAGTTTTAGACATATATATATATATATATATATATATATATATATATATATATATATTCAAAATAAATGAGTTTTAAGGATTGAACGCAAGAACAACATAAAATGCCTCATTGTTACAAAATTAGATTATTTTCTAAATGGACCAAAAAAAAATACAAGTTTATTTATTCTTCGTATAAATATTCTTGAAGAATTAATGAATTTATATATGGCTTAAATTTGTATTTCTGTTCTGGAATTCCTCATCCTATTTCAGATAATTTTCTTTCTTTACTTATATGAGAAATAAAACCAGTTGACTGTATTTTATCTTGATGCCCTACCGGTAGCAATACACGGTTAACGGGGGATGTGTTGTGGGCGGACTGGTAATACTGATTGAAATTGTAGGAAAACGTTTGATTTCATATTGGGCCTAAATCATTTTCTCCACTGTGCATGATCCTTCATGCGCACCGTCGTTTTGTTGATACAGCTTGTTCGATTTTTTTTTTATCTCGCAAGCGTATTGATTATTCGACAGAATTAGACCTGATCATACGTCTGTCAACTACTAGCTTTTTTTCTTTCTAAATATAAATATTCCGTTGAGAGTGGATAACGCAATGAGTGAAACTCAACAAGAGAAGTAGAAAAAGAGTTTCGTTAGTTTTTAAATTGTTAAAATGGTGAACATGAGATAAATGGCAGAATTACTCTATTCAACTTAATGAAGAAAATATTTCAAATAAAAACAGATTAACAGGAAAACATCCAATCTGTTGCATGTTCATTGAGATTTATTGAAACTATTGTAATATTAATAACAAATTAACATATCTAAAGCATACAAATGACCTGGTGTGATGTTGCATATTGATTATAAAATAGTTATTTCTTTTCGGTGTGCGAACAAACTCCCAATTGTTTAATATTTGAGAAAGTGGATAAACTATCATTTTCTCTTTTAATGAAGACAATTACTAACCACATCTTTTATCTTTGAATCAGACACTATTTCCTTTTATACCTAGTTATTTCACTTTCTAGAACAAGATATCCAAGGTATGTGTATATTATGTTCATTTGTTATGTGTCGCATCAAAAAATCTAAATGATCAAGCCAATCAGCAAAAACTAATCTAATGTAGTGAAGGTGAAGGAACTTCTAAATTTATAGATACATCTAAAGTATATAGTAGTCACTGACACTCAACAACATCCTAGAGATTGAATTTATATCTATATATATACTTATATCTCAACTATAATTTTTGTTGATTTTATTTGAATGGTCAAGATGATACAAGATTTTACCATCAGTGAAAAATAAGGGGCGAAGGTGTTGGGGATGTTAGATCCCCAGAACTCGCTTGATAAATATCTTTATTTTGGATTTATTTCATGGACCGATTAGTTGACCTTGAGATCGCATTTCCCGCCAGGAAAATCCTTGGTTGTGATTGGTTACTGTGTCATTTTAGTGTGCTATTTTTGTGACTATCCCAAGGACATCTCTATAGAGTATAAATAAACGCAGTTTGAGTGCTTGGATTCATTATGTGCTGGCCGGGTGTTTGTAGAATACAATTTCTACATTATATCAAGACTTCTTGCTGATAACTTTTGGTCAAGGGATCACAATAGCCTACCTGGACACTGGTTCATTGTTTGTTCTCGTTATTCGTCTAAGGTGAACTCGTAATAGTTTAAGCATACCTAGAGACGAGCATAACAGAAGGGATCAGTTAAATAAATTGGCATTAGAAAGAATGTTCTCTTCAACCCAAACAGTATGAAGACCATATTAAAGAGATCAGTTAGAGAATTATATGCGGTTTTGTTTGTGCAATTCAATATATTAGAAAAAAAATGCTATATTCAAATTAAATTATGAACATATTTTATCCTCTTTAACGTTCAATTTAGATAAGTAATAATGTGTAATAGAAATGAATATCAACGATGCATTGATTCATTGTTACTGGAGATGATTTCAAAATGTTGTATTCTATGATAAATAAAAATTCCTTTTTTTGAATGTTCCTAAATACATCAAATTTTGCGTCACAAAGCATAAACGTTGCAAAATATTTCATTTTTTTCCGAGTAGACCCATAGTCCAAGTTGGGATTTATATTTGAGATAGATCAATAAGTTAATCAGTGAGTAGAGATCGTTCTGGGTTTATCTCAAGTTAGTGCTCATCACGAAGGTATATCTCTGTTCTCCTAATAATAAACGTCGAATTCTTTAGTGCTTCAAATCTACTTCCAATTATGTTTAGCTCATCTAATATTTAAAAGACATCAGAATGATGAATCGCATTCAATACATAGCCTTGTTTCAAAGTTCGTCAATCACCACTGTGCATATCGAGTTACACAAAACACACACCAGTGTCAAAACTCTAGTAAATTTACCACACTGCAGACTTGTGAAAAAAACATGGGGATTTTTACTAATCATTTTAATGAATTAGTTTAATTTATCATTGATTACAAGTGGTCAATTAATAGACAATAATAAATAGGTCCTACAATACACCGGCTGATTAGATGGTCTAACAAACGTAACAATAACCAAACTTCAAAGTGTTCTACATCTAGCTTTGTTATTTCGGTACGCTACCTTATTTGTTGACTGTTGACTGTTCATCATTCTAGGCATTGACAGTTTTGAATTTTTAAACAATTAAAGATAATTATTTTTTCATATGACAAAGATTATGATTGTCTCCATGATTCCTCATTAATATCTGCGCAACAGTACTGCAACTAATATTTGTTCATTATATAAATCAACTTCAAAATGTTATCGATTGGAATACTTCACAGACTTTAACGCTTATCTTTTAGACTAAACGAATTTGCGATATTATTCTGAAGATAGATTTTAGTGTTCTGTCACAACTAGAGTTATTTTTTTTAAACAACTAAATAGAACTAGTAATTTTTGTTTACTTAGTTTTACTAGTTATTTCAATTGAAATAACTTGTGATAGAATATCATTATTAGTTTTACAAAAGATTTCATTGAATTGAATGTGATATTCACTTGAGAACTTATACAACTTACTAGTCAGATGAAAGTTCTCTGATATGATAATGTTCAAGCGTAAATTACCAACGTTGTCCAATAATTTTCTCTATATATATTCACTTGGTTTATTTAGTTAGAAATCGTTGAATTACTTGTAAATTTCGGTGCAGATATAATGGCTATGACTAGGAATGGTGAAACAGTTTTTGATATATGCGAAGATATTGAAATGCATTCACGTTTAATTGAAATTAAACAAGAAGTGGAAAGAAAAAAATCTCAACAACAAGACTTACTTAATAGACCTGGTAAACCACGTGAATTGGTTCGTCGACGTAGCAGTACAAATCCAAGAAGGTAAATTGTCGAATAATAATGTACACTGTTCCGTTCGCTTATTGATGTATTTACTTATTGATAATTGTGAAATTTGTCAATTAGCTTAACCCCTTTTTAAAAGCGAACCGATTTATCGAATATGTATATGATTCTTCTGTCTTGGATCGTGAAATGATGGTTTATAGATAATGGCTAACAGTGGTCTTTTGCTCACTGAATAAGATGGTTTAACCAGAAAACCCCACCATGTCATTCTGTATAAGATCATCACTTAAATAATTATCAATTTATGAATATTGTAAATGAAGACTACGAAACACATATCTATAACACACCTCTTTGGATTTAATCTGTGTGATTAATATTACAGAATGCCATACAATGATTGCCAACATGAACATAAGCTAATGAAATCTTAGAACACTGAATACCGACTTTAATTATATGCACATGTCTTTATCACACAAGTTTCTATTTGAACCACTAAATATTTTGGGTGAACATACAGTTTTTTTTGTAAAAATCTAAATATTATTTCAATAAGCCGGTAAATTGAAATCTCTTCCTTGTTAAATTCAATGTAATTCACTACATATATCCATCATAAGCGTGTTAATTCAAATACTACTTTGGTAGTGGTGAACTAGCTGAATTCAGATGTAAGTCTTTCTTCAGGAAAAGTTGCAAATGTTTGAGATATTGTTAATGAATTTTATAAAACAAAGAAACTAATACAGTTCAAGTTATGAAGACCACGAGGGAAATCATTTCCCTTCCAATAGAATCCAAATTTTTGTTTGTTTACTGAGCACATGAACTATGTATCTTTCATTAAGTGCTCAGATTATTGAACTACGGTTCAAATGTCAGTGATGAATTCGCTTAATTTGAGATCGGTTGACAAATACACATTCTCATATAGGCAAAAAAAAGTGATGTCACAGTATAAACAGTATAGACCTTAGTTTTACGTCTATAATATCTCTTTTCATGAGATATAAGACATCATAATAACAGTAGTTAAGACATAAACGTTACATTAAATATATATTGTTCGATCTTCGTTTTTTTTGTCAGAATTTGACCTCACTCGGAGAATCGCCGCAAATAGGTACTTTATCTTAGTTCAGAACTTCCTCAACTGTATACAATGTCTAACATAGAACATATAGACCTGACAAAGAATAAAGTAAATTTATACCACCAAGCTAAAGTTCATCAATTTCTGTTTTCAACTTCTTATATATATATATATATTGAATAGGTATTTCAGATATTCTCTACTTTTTAATTTCTTTCAAGTGCATCTATACGTCGAACAAGTATGAGAGAAAAGAAATTGATCTCTTGGAAAGAAGCTAAACAGGAGGCTGAAATGCGTGGTGTAGCTACACCATCAGACGAAAAGGATACATCAACACCTTTAAGTCCTATACCTAATGGATCGACAGATCATATTCTTGAAAAGCCTACAACCTGTCTAGATTCCCAAGGACTAACTAGTCCCAAAACAATTCGTAGTTCTACACGTAGTTCCCATCCCGGTCATTCTTCGAAATCTTCAATTCCGCCAGTATCGTCTCCAGTTTTATCTGGTACATTAACACAGCATGGCAGTTCTCGGTCAGGCAGAGTTCATCAAAACGACACAGCTATTACAGTTAACGGTTCTGCTCCATCACCTAACCTTCGTAATTCATCTCGAACGAAAGATAAAGAGGTTTGTCGTTACATTTCAGTGTAAAACATTTTCACTGTTAATTGAACATTCAGGTATCCATACATATTTCTCGAAAAAAGCAGGTTGATCAACAAAACCATATAAAATAGTATATTCATAGAACCTTCGAGTAATACTAGCCAAAATAATGTTATAAATTTTTGCAAAATAGACATTGATGCTTCTAAAAGGTTGAACATTAGGTGTTTCCTCATCAATTATCCAGTTACCGACAAGTCAGGAATTTACTTTCTAACGTTTACGTGGTGTAATAAGTACAGTGTTTCGTTTATTCTTTGTCTGACTGTAAGTTATTCAAATATTTAACGGCATCAAGCTCGTCATGTATTTTCGGTGAAAGTATTTATAATTCCCACTAGTACTTGAGTAGTTCCAACTAGTCATCAAAATCACTACCGTACGACTTGGTCTACCATTCAAGCAACTGATACCATGTTCCAATCAGTTAATGATATCTTCAAACAGGCTGATCTCAAGATAACGCTGTACACTTGGTAGATTAGTATATATATATATATATATATATATAGATTTCATCCGATATATTAATACTACTTAAATAGCTACTCAGTTGCATAAACTGCCCGATTATCATCAACGGCTATTATTAAGAAGGATATGTTCAAGTACAGACCTTTAAAAGTCTTATGGGAATATTTCATGGCACGAAATTCACGTTTGGAAATTATTTCATTACACCCTTTAAAAAATCGATCATTGTACTTTCATGGGAGTGTGAAAAGCAAATTACATTCAATTGTAAGATTGTCTCATTATGTACCACCTATTCATTTGAAATTAACAAAACTCATCTCACTGTAACTATTATTCTACCTTCTTTTCAACAACCTTAACTTTTCTTTATTCTCAAATTTTATTCTCATTGTCTATTGTACTTGTTTTTTTTGTTCTTTTTTCTATTTAAAATATATCGATTTAAGCTTGCTTCGTTCCCTATATCAAAAACTAGCGATTACTCATCCCAATAAATATAATTGACATTATACTGATGAGTTCACAAAATCAATGAATTTCTATCGTTAACCGGTTAATTACGTGAATCGTCTTAGAAAAAAACATTCATATCTCTTAATTAACCAATCTGTTGCAATCGTTTAAACCACCAGTGCACTAGTTAGAGCCATTATTGATAAACGCTAATTAATTCATTGATTATAATCAAAAAGTTATTTACTACTCGGTAATAATAATCGACTGACAAAGAATTTTTCACTCTTTTCTAACAAACAGGTGAATGATCTGTTTTGTTAGTGAAATTCATAATGTGATTAATTCCTAAATCGCGAATGTGTGAAATTGTAATCCGTTTAAATAATTCAATTTCCATTTTATCAGCAATAAACATTTAGTCAATGTTCATTGATTTAGACCAACGAATGGATACAATTCTCGGTCACATTTTCGCACAAATCAATGCAAACCAAATTAGGAAAAAAAACTGGAATTTTTATCTTTTCATATTCTTGCGAATCGTAAATTAAAAAAGCTACATATTATTAGTGCTTCTTTTCTCGAGCATCTTAACGAGATAAAAAGACTCATTAATTACTACAATAATCTACTGTTTTCAATCGCCACTGACCGATGTTTTAGAAGGAACATAGATCAGAACAAAGATGCGAAAAATTGCTTTGTTACAATATTAACTCTCGACCGCAATAAAAATCAAAGTCCTGCTACTTTTATCAACCACACAACTAACACTTAGAATTCAAGAAAACTGTTTATAGCTGACTGATCAATTTACACCTAGTTTCCTGTTAAACCTCTGTCAGCTAGTAAAATTTCTGATAACTATGGAGAAAATTATAGTCATTGCATTCAAGTTTGAAACTCTTTTTCATAAATTACATCGAAAATAAAACATTGGTCCAACATTTCATTGATAATTTTGTACGTAATTTCTCTTTCACGTATTATGATCTATAGAATCTCTTTCGTTTCTCATTGATTTCTTTATATACTCAACTTATAATAAATATCATAAATTTGCTTTGTGACTACCTACCTATTTTCTGTCAATTTTTTTTTGAAGGTCAACCTACCTAAACGCAACAATCCACCGCCTGCACAAAATAACGAACCTAGTCCAATAAGTGTTGTTAATTCATCTCCTATTACTGTTCATCGTACAAGCCATGATAAAGAAGTAAGTTGACACTCTAAAGAATGGTTTATCTGCTAAACAGTTTTAACGATTCTTCGTACCTCACGTATTATTATATTCTGTTCACATTTTGAAATAACTAACTACCCCAAAATTATTGATCTGCTATTGAAATATTAAATAAGCCCAAGTTAGACAACCATTAAAACAAGGAAGCGATGTACAGCTGCGTTCTAACCAGTATCCAACACCTTAGCATTGATGTCCTGGCAAGGGAACCAAATCGAAAACTTCAGATCTCATGATAGCGCATAACCTATAAAGTCGGTATCCAATGATGTACTTATTTAACCTCAGTCGACTCACAATTGATCTCATTCAGTCAGCAACAACGAAGAACTTCGTACGTATGTACATCAGTCAAGGTTGCCATACCACATTAACACAGTAACGCAATTGTCAGTTCAAATCCCATAGTAGTAGAGGTAGTAAAAGTATTAGCAGTAATCCGAGAGATTAGGGTTCGAGGATATTATTCAAGAAGTATAGTCCGGTGAAAGAGATTCAAGGCGAGAAAGATGAAGATCATGAGGAGTTCAAATTAGAATTTTGGGGAACACAAATAGTGAATGAACCTGCGCCATTGCAAATGGTTTTGAGCCTCGTCATTCAAGGTCTCTTATAATCGATTACTATCGTCCCGCAGACCCCAACCAAGTATTCTACACTTACCAACATGACTCAATCCACCTGTCAGTGACTTCATGGATTTGTGCCATGTTTTGGTTTGGCCACCCCTAGCTTTTTTCCAACTTATTTCTACACCGCAAAACACCGCTCGTCGAGACAGTCGGTGGTCGGGCTTAAGTAACACATGTCCCAACCATCTCAATCTCAACTGAGAAGTTTCATAATTTTATTTATTGGTTTGCCATCCTCACTCAGTACTTGTTTCCTAACGAAAGCATCGCTTACTTGGCTGTCCCAGGATACCTGAGTAATGCTTCGGAGACATCTATGATCGAATAGTAATAAATTACGGATGTCCTCTGCTCTCACCGGCCATGTTTCGCATCAATGTAATAGGATGGAGCGAACTGCTGCGCAGTACACTCCTTTAGTCAGCAAGCGGATATCTCGCCTACATCATAAGTGACGCAAGTTGGTAAAAGCCAATCGAGCCTTCTGTATCCGTGCTGAGATGTGTCAGTCACCAGGCCATCAGCACTGATAAGATTCCCGAGATAAGTGCAGCAGTCGACACGCTCAACTACTTCACTCCCTATCACTAGTTCAGGTGCCGAGGCAGCCCAATCTTCAAGCAACATTTTGCATTTTGAGAGGGAAACCGCATCCTGAACATGCTTGCATTGTTGCTTAAAGTGTTCAGAAGACACTGCATTTGTCAGTGTCTTCACCAAGTAGAACTATCATCGGCGTACTCTAAGTCAACAAGCGACTTTCCTGGTAGAAGGTTCACTGCTGAAAAATCAGACGAAAATAAAGTTATCTCTAAGAGCGTGTCTGTGACAAAGTTAAACAAGAATGGAGAAAGTGGACAGTCCTGATGGATAGCAATTGAAGTACTGAATTCCGATGACAGTTCAACATAGGCTGTGACTCGACTAGTAGTGTTCGAGTAGAGAGATTTTGTAAGGTGAATGTACTTCTGTGATACACCTTTTAATAACAGACACTGCCATAGAATCTCATGAGTGACAGAGTCGAATGCCGCTCTAAGGTCAAGGTAGACAACTATAGTAGGATGTTGAAATACGTGTCTATGTTCTGGAATCTGAAGTAGTGTGAATATGTGGTCTGTACAGCCACGTTCAGGTCGTAAACCAGCCTGGTTTTCTCTAGTCTGCTCTTCACGAGCTCTAGTTAGGCATCTAAGGATAATCGAGGCTAACAATTTAGACACTATATTAGTTAGACTGATTCCTCTGTGATTGTCACATTTACCCATCATTCTAATCTCCTGCATTTCGAATTAATAATAGTCCCATCCTTTTCCTATATAGCCTCATTTACATTCGGGTTCCTAATACCGTTTTCCTTGTTAAGTCTAAATAGTTGTTTACTGTCGCTCTTGTTTTCGCTATCCACCACTGTTCGCGATCGTTAGGTAGGCTTCTTATCAGCATGCGCTTGATCCGACTTCACGCTTTGTCATGTTCAGAGGCAGGCGGGATGTGATTCCAAGCACCCAACAGTTCGACAGATGCTACCGAAATTCAGAGCTTCCTCCTTATCTTATCACTGCTGTTTCCACAGCTTTTTGAATATCGCTCCAAGCTTCTTCAATCTTGAAATCACTTAGATGGTCGCTTAAATGTTTTTCTAGTTGTTCCTGAAATATAACCTTAGTTTTGCTATCATTAGGTAGCGCCCGAAGATGTTTCCTCGCGATATGTTCCCTACGTCCAGTAAGCCTCAAACAAATACGCACTGGCAGTAAAGCATGGCCTGAATCTAAACAACTGCTCCAGAATGAACAGCAGTCTTCAATGGAGCAATGAGGTCTAGTTGCTTCGGTTTTCGGGTGTCTCCAGGTTGAGAAATGTTTTTCCTTATGCTTACAGTTAGTGTTCGCTAGAAAGAGGCGACTGTTTGAGCACAGCTGCAGTAGGCGGTCGAAGGCACGACACCATAAGATTCACCCAGATGTCTTTCGTTTTCCGTTAGTCTACCTATTTGAGCATTGAAGTCACCAGTCATTATTACTATTTCAGAGCGCTTTCTGAAGAAGAAGGTTCGTTAGGTTTCTGTGGAACTCACCTTTTACCCCGTCTGAACTACAGTCATTGGGAGGGTAAGCAGATACGACATAGAGGCAACGGCGAGTTTCCCTATCCTCACGAGTTCATACCGTCATGTTCAGTCGTGCAGCGCATAATCAACTGTCTACCGAGATCCAGTCTGATAGCGCTAGTGCTGCCTGACGACTTAATACTATAGCTACATCAGCCAGGCCACAGGAAGCAGCATTAGGGCTTCCAGATACACAAAGAGTAGGTCGAGCTGCTTTTTTATTTTGACATAGTGAGGTCAAATGAATGATTTTACTCGGATCCTGAATGCGCGTGTGCGAGACCCAGCACGCATTGATAGCACGGGATTCCAGAGTCCTAGCTAAGAAAGCGTGTTGTCCTATTTTACACATTAAAAGCTCCAACATATAGCTAAGAGATGTTGGGAGGTGAAGGGAGGATTTGATTGTAACTGATTTGGTCTCATGGAGGAAGTCACTTCCCGGCTGCCCACACCGTGGGTGTTTCTTGAGAAACCTGTAAAGGAAATCGGGTTAGCATTGGTCTGAGCGACGTGAGAGCGTGATCGCAGAGCCCAAAGGAAACTGCTTAAGGCGGTCACGCACGGCCTTTTTATGGAATGTTTTGGAGGTGTTAGCTCCGCTCTCCAAGGGGCTGTGCCGCCGAAGACGTAAATCCGTGAGGTAAGGTGAGGTATGAAAGTTTTAGGGTCGATCTATTCTAACCCCTTCCTTCCTTGTGAGATGCTGGTTGTCCGAGGGAAACGCCTCACTGCTGTCACACCCCTCTTCACTTCGCAGGCCGACTTCACCCTCAAACCTTGAGTTATGGCTTTCAGTCTCAGTGTTCTCCAATCGACCTGCCTGGCACAGTAGAACCTACAGGAACATATGTTCTAGGCAATGTAGCTCGGTTGAGTCATTACGATAAGCAAGCCCGACCACTACGTCAAGATCGCAGCTACGGTTGGGTCCGATTGATCTGCTGTTTCCTTTAAAACTAGAAACAGAAAAGAAGCATTTTTACTTAGTGTGTGTTGATTGAGAGGTCTCATGAAAATGTTAATCACTTATTCAATTTCAAGAGGAATAAATTTTGATTGTAATAAATAATATCAAAGGACCGAATTCGTACGAATTAAAACTTCTAGAAATATAAACATAATTTTGCTGTGATTTCTTGAAAATCTCCATGTTTTAATTTCATTTAACTGATTTGTCAATTACAATTCGAATATGATCGTACATTTAGTCAACGATACTACTCACCAGGTGCCAAAAACCTAACTAGCAATTTTGAAACGTGCGAAGCATATATATATATATATATAGCTTAATAAACAAGGTTTATTTCAAAACTCCTTTGTTATAAGAAATGATAATGTTTGCGTTCTCCAACTGATCAGAAAATGTAGGACAAACTAACTCAATCATTTTGTTAGAAATCTTTGTTTTACAATTTTTGTAATCTAACTTTTACTAAATAGTCATATGTTTGACTTTAAGTCGCACTCTGTGTGACGGTCAATTATACAATCAGGTTGTCCAAGCTAAATTGGGAGAATCGACATTGGAACTAATGATCGACTTATTGGACGGTGAGTCCCCTAAACTGTGAACTAACCCGCTAAAGCTTGAAATGTTTTTAGAATCTCCTGTATGTTTCATAGCCATACTTTGTAGATTTGTCGTCTCAATTAGGAAGTGATGATGGGGTATTAAATAGTCAAAATACCATTCCGTTTTACACCTTTGGCATAAGAAGATAAAAGTGTATGAAATTATTTTCGGTTTCAGAGAACTGTCAGAATTCCATCAGGTCCTGTACAAAATCCTGAAAATATCGGTACATTGACACGACGATCCCAGCAGACAGAATACAGTAGTAAATCTCCACCAATTGGTTCACCTGATCTATCTCCTTATCATCTAACTCCAAGTTCTCAACTACGACAGTCAAAAAGTCGAACAATATCTGGAGTTGAAGGGTTATCTAATCCAGAACAATCTGGATCTCATCTGAAATCCCGAGTAAATAACTATGATAACACATATGCATCATCTCTTCCTCGACGCGACAACAACCAGACAACTGATTTAAACAATCAACCCGTTCGTGGAGAAAGACGTTCGTCCACAAGGAAGAAAAAAGCAACATCTTCAGAACAAAAACTATCAAGAAACGACAATAGAGAAACTGATATTTCAGTTCATAATGCGTATTATGCACTACCATCTAATAATCAATTTCAGAACAATCAACCTCGTAACGACCAAATTCCTACTGACAACCAAAATATCATTGTACGCTCTCCAAACATAAATCGTAATGATGTTAAACCATCAACCAGAAGTAGAACCAATTCAGGACAAGTTGTATACGCAACAGCCTCTCTACCAAGAAGGGAGTTAATCAATTATGGAGATGATTTAGGCTCCAGACCGAGTGGTAAATGCTGTGTAATAATGTGATCCAATGATACTTAATTATAACCATTCTTTTCATTTAGAAGCTATTCTTGTCTATTTTACATTCATGAACTTTTCCACAGATACATGTCTACCTGTAACAATAAAAAAAAGCAAGATTTTCTAATTAAGTGATATATACACATAAGGCGTTTGTTCCATTTCACAGTAACATAATCTTGTTGGATTTATCAAACATTGTACATATTTACTCGTATCCCATTTTTCGCCTCTTTGTTTTTGTTTGATTTTCTGCTGACCAGTTCTTTTTCTACTTATCCAGTCACCAAAACTGAATAAAAAACATGAAAGAAACGTTATTAACTTTATCACGTATGATGCTTTCACAGTCCTAATTTACCTAATCAAAACAGTATTTTCTAAGTTAAATGATTTTGATTTTGTTCATATATGAATTAATTTATTTTCAATAACTTTTTAACGTAGAAAAACATTTCAATTGAATTCAATAAAAAAATGTTTGTGTATGTATTTATGTGTATGAATGACTGATTTTAATCATGCTACACTTTCATTTGCTTGTTTAGTTAGTTACATGCAGAGTACTAACTGATAAATTTATTGTTATGTAGAAGAAAAGCAACAAATTGATTAGGTTAATTTCACTGTCTGTTTTTAAAATTCCATAAAGCTTTTTTTTTTTACTGTTCATAATTAGAATACGTTGAAATATGATAGCGTGTATTGGTTTTGTTTCACTTTTCTACCACTACAAATACTATTATGGTTCATGCTGCTTAATAGCCACTAAATTATTATTGATAAGACATAATCTGTAACTCCTGAGTATACACACACACACATAAAAGCCAACTAGGTCTCTACATTTCCAAGAATAAATTAATTGACTAAATGGAAAAAAACCACCAAAAGGCACTATTCAATTGGTATTATTTTACGCTTTGCCGAAGGCGAAACCAGTCGTTTTACTGCACATAATTATCTTCGAAAGACAAATTAACTAGATACATGCTTAAGAAAACAGATTTCAGGAAGTTGGTCACACTAATATATTTCCAGTAATCAAACTCAACTTAAAAATTTCTTAGGTAGGGTTTCCAGTTTAATCCCATTTGTAGGAGTCATTTATTAGGGATTAACCTTAGCTAGGATATCAGTGAAAGCCAAGGAGCACTGTATAGTTAGTTCGATACAACAATACGCAATCGTTAATGACCGAACTAGGGATATTCGGGACTATGAGAATCCATCGATTTTTTGAGTATCCTTAAGAGTTGCTTTGTCGAGACGATTAAACAGCACGACCTTACTCCGAAATGGTGGTTGATAAAATATCTATAATCGGCTGATTAAAGTAGGATTTTCGAGAAACGATGCATTTTCCAACCCAAAGGAATTTAAGCAACTTATTAATGGTAACGAAATCGCCACTAAACAGCATTTCCAAAAGACGCTTAATGATAAAAAAACTTTCAACAGTTTATTGGGAGAGAATCAAACACTGGTCACATACAAGTTACCTTTGTTACTTTATTAAAAATCAGTGGTAAATTTTAAGCTCCTACATCAATATATTTATTTCTGATCAAACAACTTGAAATGACAAAGCCATAGACAGATAATCTTAAATCATCATAGTTTGAAGTATATTATTATTTCCTAGCGAAGTTAAACACCATTTTAATATATACTTGCAACTTTTTACATGCATCACATAGTCAATTTGATTTCAACTATTTTGATGATTCTTGCTGATGAGCATATTTCCGATTTCCGAAAAAATTCAAACGTCATCACCAAGTACATTGAAGTCATTTCACGTTTCATTTACATTTTGACGACAGAGCCATAAATTCGACATTATACTTCATTAGAAAAAAATTGTGATCTCCAAATGTATCAATTAAAATTGCACCGGTAGTCACGTCTACTCAGTATCTGACTTAGCATTTTACAATACTTTCCCATAATTATTTATATTTTAAAAACTAGCATTGAAGATTAATGACTTAAATAGATAAGAATCATTTGTTAGCAAAATAAAAATTGAAAGCTTAGCAAATGTTTTAGAGGTGAAACTACTAGTCAAAGATAAGTTAAAAAAAAATAGGAATTTGTATTAGAGTATAAAAATAGATTTGTATAATATATATATGCTAAATGAACTTGTTTTTTTTTATCCAGTGGGAATATCAAATTCACTGGTTAAATTTTTAAAAAACAAAATGTTCCAAAATAAAAGATAATCGTATTAGTGGATGATGAATAATAGATAACAGCATTAAAACTAATCCCATATGAATAAGGCAATATTTACAAAATACGATGAATTCACATACAAGTTAATATGTTTAGCTATTTCTAATTGATAACAACATTAAATTGCCAATCATTTAATGGACAACGTTGTGCGTAGCGTAAAAAGAGTTCAGAATTGAAGTCTTAAAATATGAGTTATTTCATAATAATTCCTTAGGGTAACAGGTGTCCAGTATTAAAATACCTTCTACTGATTAAAATGACAATTTAAGAATGAAAAGTGAATGTGTGAGGTCAACTCGTTAAATTACGATTAGATGCAATTGAGAAAGGAGGTCAATATATTATCAAACCAGTAGAGGGTTAACTACTGATTATTTTTCTGAATACAAATGTCAGGTTGAAGTCTTCTAACTGTTACTAGGGCTTTCGCGAACTTTAACAACAAGGAATTGAACTGTTTTTTGATAATTTTTCACGCCGCCAAGCTTCTCATTCTCCTTCTCAGCTACTTCGTCATTAATGGATGGGTCAAGGACAAACTGTTGTAATGGATCGCATCAACATGGGTTTCTCGGTTCACTTGCTCGTGTGAAGTAGGTCACACAGACTGCGCAGAGCGAGCGCTTTCCGAATGCATCTCCTAGCATAATCGTGCGTTGCCTTCGAAAGGTGGATTTAAACCACTCAGCAGTTCAATATAAGAACATCTTGTGAACTCTCGTCGCATCATTTCATCTGATAAGTCATTTAACATCATCTACACAATTATCGTAGTTGTTTCGAGAGGAGCGCAGATTCATCTTCTGAAACCTGAACTCTGCACGAAAAAGACACCATCATTATTCTACGATCCTAACACCTCATCCTGTGCATGAACGATAATTTAATTTTATCACATTCCTCTGTTTCTAATCTCCCTAATTATGATTATTCGTTATTATTACTTTCATGTTTTTAACTTATTCTTCACCTTTTTCATACTTTTCAAGTGGATAATTGTCCTTCCGAAATTTCATTTTATCTTTTTATCTCTCTGCGATTCTCCATTATTATTTATTAGAAGCGAATTTCTTTCCTATACGATATGATGTGATCGTTCTCCGATTTTTCAGTAGACTATTTGATTTGCAAATTAACTATGAATGCAATCCTACAACTTGGATAAATAATATCGTCGAAAAGAAATAATTATGATTATTAGTTATTAGTTTCCATTTTAATTTAAATTTTAATGTGTATGTCAAATTACTTATAGTGAAAAATAATCCATTACAACACCAAAACGGAAAAATTCAAACGCAAGACAGAATACTTAGCAAACAAAGCGTTCTATTACTTTCAGTAAAAAAAAAAGAAGAATCCAAAGCCAATTTCGTTATATTGTGTGTTAAACTTTTTTTTCTAAATGATTTTACAAGCTTTGTTACTGCACAGTCAAATCCTAACAATATTTTTTTCACATTTTGTTTTGTACAATTAGTTAAGGAGAGAAAAACGACAAATGAACACGTTCATAAAGTGTATCAATTTATTCTTCTGTATTTTTACGAATTATTTCATGTACAGCACTGATTAAAAGTTCTAATTCTTCTTCTGTTTGAGGCTCACCCGATGATGCATCAGCGCCAATACCTTTTAGTTTTTTTTAAAAAAAAAAGACAAACATGAAATGAATTACAACACATTAACGATTTCAATAAGATAAGTGATCAATTATGTGAGTTTGAATGAAAAGAAACAATATAACAATTCTATGGTGTTCGATAACAGCTTCTTATCATTAAAACCTATGTAACTCTACGAGAATATAACACATGGGAGGAAATTGACAACACATGAACTATATGTGAGAAAATTATCGTTAGTTAACCAGATTTCAAATAAGTAGTTTTTGTTACTCAGTGATAGATTGGATGTGGATATTTTTTATACCTTGATAAACACCTGAGAACTGATAAGGCCAGTAAAAAATATTGCTACTTTCTTTGGGAAAAAAGTCTTTGTAGTCCCTTTCATGGCAAATAATTTTCAGTAATGTCACAAGTATATTCATGAATTGGAAGGTGTCTTACTGACATGAAAAAGTTTTAAGGATGAGAAAAAATACTTTTACTGAGTTTAAAGACCATCAAACAAAATGATTTATCCATTGTAAGTGAGAAGTGTAAATAAGTTTAAATAGATTATTCGCAATTTTCTGATGTCTGTAATGAACTGAGAAAAATACTGAAAGGTGTCCACAAACATGCCAGAATGCTAAGAAACGATCGAGTTAGAATAACGTTATTGCACAATCTACACTGTTACTGGACTAATCAGTACAAATCATTTCATGAGTTTTTCATCTTAAATTTAGGTTGTTTCGAGATGTTTATGAAGAGTTGTATCTGTCCCGAAATATTGATTCTCCATAGCGACAGATCGCGAATTGTTCCACGATATTTCATGGGTTAGTAATGATATAAAGTTCTCGGAAAGAGTATCTACATATTTCCTGTTGATTCATGTAATACCAGTATAAATTCATTCATAATATCATTAGCAAATCCTGAGTTAGTAAGTTAACTTGTTAAAACCAATGCAGGACTTGGAAGGGATGTGTATTAGTGTCACTGCAAGTGAACTATGAAATGAGTCCACATTGTTAATCATCATATAAAATTACTTACAAAGCATCTTAATTAGGTATACATGCGTTGGTATATTAAATAGTGAATAAAATATATCATATAACAACGAATAAATGAACTCGTTTATTAGCAGCCGTATACATGTAATTTCGAACTGGTGACAATAAGGTCGACTACCACACTTATAAATCTCAAAGACTATCAAACTTGATCATTCTTAGGTGGTTTTTTTTCATAACTTCATTGGAAATTTAAAATGTTACATTACCATCTAAAAATCAATTTAACAAATTAAACAATTAATAGCAGATTGTTTTGAATCAATCTCATTGCGCATACCTCTTAATCTACGGCGTTCCTCTTCATCTCGATCATATAATTTAATAAGCTTATTTTTCCAAGCATTGAATTCAGTAAATAGTTTCTGTCGTTTCTCAAACAATTCTCTACTGGCCTTTGAAGCAAGCATACGATCTTCATTGGCTAATTGTGAATTATATTTTGACAAATTCTTTTCAATACTCTACAATACACAATAATAGGCGTTATACAAAAATAAAAGAAACTAATGAAAATTAGCCAACTGGTTTCCACAAAAAAGGAAAATAATAATAAGTGTAAAATCCAATACATAATTTTCTTTTCCGTTAATTTATTAATAAACAGTTTAGTTGTAACAAACTAATAATAGTGATGCAATCATCAGGTGCAGTTTCCAATATTCTATTATAAGTGTTTCCGAACAATTGTTTGGATACGGTGTAAGTTTCAAGCGAGCAATTGTTAAGTTAAATGTATGGTCTTAAATAAAACTGATAAGTCGAATGATCAGATAATAAATATTTATTGCTTTAGATTACTGGGACATGCGGTGGCTACATTTAGTCACCTTATATCTATATCAGCATATAACGACAGATATAGGCAAAACATTCGTCCATGAAATTGCAGACAGCAAACAGACAGAATCTAAGAACTTTATTATTTGCTACTAAACTATAGTATTGCTGACAAGACACTAACTGATATACTGCGTTTCAAAAAACCGTCAGCCAACTCTGAAAAAAATTTGTGATTCGCTGACCACATTGAAAAGGAAAAGGTCTAAATTTGAATAATAAAAAGATACCTGCAACTGTTCAGCGCTGAGTAAAGTAGGAGGTCGTGGTCTCCAGGTGAAAGTACGAATACCACGTAAGTTCATTTTGTACGAGCAACGACCTATACAGTTCCAAAACCATATTGCATTATCATTCTTCTGGTAGAAACTGCTTACTGTTGTCGCTAGATATCGTCCAGTAGGATCCCATTGTATATCGCTAACAGTTGGATGTTCTCCTTTAGCTAATATCTGACCCTCATTAGCTGAAATGAATTCCAGGGTCCCATCAGCGCTAAATTTTAAAAAATATCCCCAACGATTAAAGGTGATTAAACATAACCTTAGTGATGTTTCGTCAAGAATAAGCGCGAAAAATCAACCACCGGAAAATGTTTCAGTCAACAGGTCGATAATATTTATCACAACTAAGTATATTCGCAATGACTTTTATAGTGCAAACCCACATACAACTCTTCCCAGCTAATTTCATTGCATTTTGATAGAATTCATAAGCTTTTAGGTGAAAGAAATACTGTAACCAACATAAATGTCTTTTATATGAAGAACAAAGTGTTAAATTTGAGAAAAAAATTTTACGACAGAACTTGGATTACTGATATAAAAATTAACTGGATTTTCATTTTATCGAAGGTAGTCCAACTAAGAATCATAAAACTAAAAAAGCCTTTACATTCGTTGCAACTGACTGACTATATAAATATATCTTATCTCTTAGTGTGCAGAAAATTAACAGATATTCAAACTCATTAATATATTGTATGCTCAATAACCTTCTCATAGCGTCTCGTATATCAATCAGTTAGAGGTCATGCAACATTAATATGTCACAGAATTTTGTAAATAAGTGTTTTATTTCGTTAGACTACTATAATTATTTAGTCAGGAACTGCCAGTGTAGCATGTCGAGAGATTTAAGTAGCCTAGACAATAACCATCTTGACCATATCGTATCTTTTCGAATTATCATTATTCGATTAGCATCCTATTAATTGTTATAACAATTAAATAACAATCCTAGATAAACTAATCAAAGGACGGTCAGCTACATTACTTTTGCCACTTGCCAACTTGTATATATATATATATATATATATATATATATATATATATATATATATTTGTTATTTACCCAATGGAACATAGAGGCAAGAGTGTGGTATGAATTCAGGAATTCTCTTTAACTTTACTCGTTCAAAAACTAGAATAATCTAGTATAGTCCAGATGTTTGAAGGAAATATATTTCCTGAGTAAACTAGTTAACTGGATGATAGTTTAACAAAATTAATTTATTATTCACCTTCCTAAACTTGCTGCCACAATAATTCCACCCTTAGGTGACCAACGAAGATCATTAGTTTTAGGTGAGGCAAGATCCAGAACAGTAACTTCACGAATATTAGTTCCTCGAGAAACATCATAAATAGCAACTGATAATTTTCCACTCGTTACAGATTGTAAGAAAGCGAAACGTGTACCGCTAGGTTCCCATTGGAAACTCGATACAGTTCCTTTAACTTCCAACTGATCAACAGGATATAATTTTTCTCTCAAACGAACGATTTCAAAATTGGTGTAGGTACCCTAGTAGTGAGAGAAAAAAAGAAAGAATTGAAGTACATCAAATATCGATCGGAAAATTGAGTGAACACTTATTCATAATATCAATAAAAACGTACTCCAGTAAATGTCTTAGAGAATTATTATCATTTAGATGAATGTTCGCCAAAATTTGGATGTGGAAATCCAATTTTGAAATTACTTTCGTAATGAGAATTCGAATAATTCCAACGTTCCGCATAGCAGACTAATCCGAACTTCTTAGGAAAAGTAAGCGATAGTTTTCCTGACGTTCTAACTAATTTATTTGACAAGCGCTGAAATTATCTCAATTTCAACTGCCTAGAACATTTCAAACATAATTTCCACTCATTCAAAAACACAGACCAACAATATTTAGCGTCTGAGAATAAAAATTGAGTCACTGAACTGCTATCAACTAGAAGACAGTAAACTGTTAGTGAAAAAATTAGAAGAACATCGACATTGTGGATATGATTCTGGAGAAACTAGCAACAGGTTCATAGCAATTAATTACAAAATGGATGAGATAAAGGTTATTGTAACAAGTAACTAGTTTTCGCTTGATCATAAATTAAAAAATAGCAACAAATCTAATTACAAATGTAAAAAGATCAGTATTCTATCTAAAACTCAATAAACACTAATAGAATAATTAAAATTTTTGGTGATATTCCAATAAGAAAAAACTTGTACCTTTAATGTTTCGTAGCTTAATGCACGTCAATTCTTCAGAATAAATAAATCAATAACGAAAATAAATTAACACAAGTTTAAATAGCAGAAGGGAAAAAAAAGCAGAATAGTTTTAATACAATCAAAATCATAATAGAGTCTGAATATGTCCATGTTATATCATTATTTTTCGGTCAAGGTGATTCTGTGTGAGACCTCAATGTTTATTCGTGTATGAAGGTGAGTAGTGGAGTGATACTGATGTGTTCAAACCTATTATGATTTTTATTGTACTTAAACTACTCTGCTTTATTTCCCATCTACTATTTAAGCTTGTGTTAATTTATTTACTCTAGTGCAGTGACATGCATCAAGTTACGAAACATCGCTGTCATTAATAACCACAGTAAATGTGTTCTTCCGTGTTTATTTTTTGTTCTAAATACTAAAGATATAAGGTTAACGAATAATCCAAGATAGCGTGAATCAGGATTTCATCAGTGTTTCAATTTTTAATCAAATTGTGTTACAGTTGTGTAGCATATAACAGTAACCACTAATGTAAACAATAAAATCAGGAGGTGGTTTGAATCTATGGACTTTGAAATGCTAGAGATAGCAAATTCAAATGACTAATGCATAGTAATTAAATAAGCATATGTCGATGAGTACAAGTGTCATGTTAACCAGAACAGGGATTATTTACAACATTCAAAACCTACCACATATTTCACTTGCTTTTCACCATCCAATTTCTTTTTTGCGCACCGTAATACTTGAACAGCTAAGAAATCACCTTGCTCATGCCACAGAAGACTGATTTCAGCTACGGAAAATAAATTCTTTGTGCATAGATCTTGACGACTTGGTACATCCATTAGAACAACTCTGAATGATTAATTGATGGCAAATTAAATATATATTGAATAGAAGTAATACTGGATTAATGTACATTATATTTATACGATTTTTCAATGAAATTCACTAGTAAGTTCATGATAAAATGAGGGAATTGATCAAGTCCGTCCATTTACATTACTCGTAGTTTCAGATTATTAACAAGGTTCGAAAAGACAAATTTAAGGGCATTTTGTTCTCATGTAATGACGAATCAACAGATACAAATAGTCATTAGAGATGAAGTATCTCCTCTGCTAAGAGAAAATAGCTGTTCAAGGCTCAATCGGTTTTTCAACTGAAGTGGATTCATGAAAACCATCTTACGATAAATAAATGCTGTCGAAACTATCAAACAACTAGGCAAAGCATTGATGAAAAGATTGAAAATTACACTAATGAATATAACCTTAGTATACGTGTTATTTCGAAAACCAAAATAATTTGTTCGTAATGGATAAGTCACATAAGTACATACCTCAGGTCAGTCACAACGTAGAACTTCGTACGTACGTACATCAGCTCAGGTTGCCATACCACATTAGCACAGAGAAGCAATTGTCAGTTCAAATCCCATAGTGGCAGAGATAGCGGAAGTATTAGCGGTAATGAAGAAAATTAAGGTTCGAACATATTATTCAATAAGTACAATTTAGTGAGATAAATTTAAGCACATACCTGGCTGGAGTGTTGTCAGATTCAGGTACCCAGTAGGCTAATATATTATCAGAAGGCGACCACGAAAAATCACGAATATTGCCCCCAAGTTTCTTTTTATCCAAAAGTCTGAAATTACTAGTACAGTAAATACTAATGACACCATCTCGTAGGCAAGCAAAATATTCATCCTTTGGAGACCATTTGAAAGCCGGATGAAAGTCGACTGGGACGGAGAACTCTCGGCGACTAACACAGCGTTTCACATCCCACACGATTGCATCTGCGCGCTCATCAGTGGGAAAATTAGCGCTCGGACTCAAGGTAATCATAAATCTGTTAAGTAAATATGCAAATTCGACCAAGTGATAAGCAGGGAATAACAATTAACAGACAAATCTAGAAGTTTACTTCATATTTTTAGAACAAGAAATGTGAATTTTTTATTTCACGAAGTACTGTTTTTATAACTATTTATCTTGATTTAAAAAATACTGCTTATTGAACGGCGTTATTTTTTATCATGATGGTGATTGCTGAAAATATTGACGATTGTGTAAGCCATAAACTCAATCACACTTGTAAGAATGCTTTACCGGTTTGTATTTACATCAATAATCAGTTAATACATTAACTCAGCAATTAAATACAGGTCTTTATACTGAGCTATAAATTAAACATATTATTTGAAGACTAATAGGAACACTTTAACTCCAGATAGAGACCCTCTAGGAGGTTAATACCGGCCCTATACGCGGATAAATGTAGAGGGCTAGGTGTAGGTTTATTAAACCCACTTTGTAAAAGAACCTTGCTGTGAATATGTTAACCAGAAAAATACATCTAAACCACTGAGACTCTACCCTGAGCGTGGAAGAGTGTTCATATAGAACAGTTTTAAAGCTGAGATTCTTGTGGAGCCTCATGCGCTGTCCGACTAAACGGAACGGTACGAAATCATGAAGATAGGGAAACTCGCCGTTGCCTCTACGTCGTATCTGCTTACCCTCACAATGACTGCAGTTCAGACGGGGTAAAAGGTGAGTTCCACAGAAACCTAATGAACCTTCTTCAAAAAGCGCTTTGAAATAGTAATAATGACTGGTGACTTCGATGCTCAAATAGGTAGACTAACAGAAAAGGAAAGACATCTGGGTGAATCTTATGGTGTCGTGCCTACGACCGGCTACTGCAGCTATGCTCAAATAGTCGCCTCTTTCTAGCGAACACTAACTGTAAGCATAAGGAAAAACATTTCTCAACCTGGAGACACCCGAAAGCCGAAGCAACTAGACCTCATTGCTCCATTGAAGACTGCTGTTCATTCTGGAGCGGTTGCTTGGATTCAGACCGCGCTGCAATGCGAGCACGTATCTGTTTGAGGCTTACTGGACGTGGGAGGGAGACCGCAAGAAAACCTCTTAGGGTTCGACTCAACGACAACAAAGTAGAAAATATATTTCAGGAACGATTAGAAAAACAGTTGAGCAGCCATGTAGAAAGCGATGCCCACCCTTAGACGGCTTGGAATGATATCAAGAAAGCTGTGGAGACAGCAGTGATACCTACCATAAGGTTAGGAAGAAGCCATGGATATCAGTAGCATCTACCTAACTGATGGATGCTCGGAAACTCATCCAACCTGGCTCTGAACATAAAAAAGAGCGAAGTCGGCTCAAGTGCAGGCTGATAGAGAGCCAATGCAATGATCGCGAACAGTGGTGGGTAGCGAGAGCGAAAAAGATGGAAAAGGTAGGGATAGGCGACAGTAGACAACTATTTAGGCTTATCAAGGAAACCGAATGTAAGTGAGACTATCTAGGATGATAGTAACAGATGGTTAGAGACCCTGAATTATATGGCTCAAAGTCGTTTGCAATGGCGCAGGTGTATTTATGTTGTGTCCTCTCAAATTCTAATCTGAATTTCTTATTACCTTCATCTTTCTCGTCTCAAATCTATTTCACCGGATTATACTTCTTGAATAATATCTTAGGACCATGATCTTCTAGATTAATGATCATACTTTTACTACCTCTACTACTATGGGATTCGAAATAATAATTGTGCTGTGCTAATGTGATATGGCAACCTGAACTGATGAATGTATATACCGAGTTCTACGCTGTGACTGACTAACTGACCATTAGTGACGCAAGTTGGTAAAAGCTAATCGAGCCTTTAACGATAGCAGAAATGACTGAAAATATGCATTTCATGAGGCTGCAATAGACTGTGGGGAAATGCCCCAGACAACACCTGACCATTTTGACGAAAGACCTGAAAGCTTAGGTCAAGGCAAGCAGCATTGGGTATTTTACTCATTCTGAGGTGACAAGGTGTTAGTGTGATGTAGTTTGGATTAAAGCATGATTGCGTCGTTGCACGTTGATGGGCTCTTTTGTATCTAATCGGCGCTAGCCGATACTGAGGGAACGTTCTAGAACCTTCTCAAGTAGGAACAGTATAAATATGCTAACGTCATCTTCCTTTGTAACTTTTGTCTTCCATCAAACCTTGTTGTTGGAATATAATCTATTTCCTGTTTCACCGTGTTCTGATTTGGGAGAACGTCTCGAGCAAATTGGCGTCTGAGAATACTAAGCATTAGAAATAGCAGGGTTGTGATAAGAGAGAATTATAACAGTGGCGACGAGGAAAAATGAAAAAAAGTCAAGATGCCCATATCAAATGACCAGCTCAACCGAATACCACAACAGAAGCAAGCACAATTAGATGCACAAATGCGGTTGTTGGAGAATCTAACTTAACAGCTCAACATCCACTACTCGAATCCACAGGTTATTTTAAGTACGTCTTGTGATCCAGTTGCTAGCACCAGCCAAGAATTCATTTATGATCCCGAAAGTGGAAATACTTTTCTCACGTGGTTCAAACGTTGGAAAGATACATTTAGAATAAAATTCGGTAAACGAGACGACGCATGGAAGACTCGATTGTTGATGAGTAAGTTGGGAAGCAACGAACATCCACGTTATACAGTTACCTCGAGAGCTCAGTTTCGAGGAGACGGTAATTCAATTGTCAGAGGTATTCGGTGAATCATCCTCGTTGTTTAGTATTCGATATCAGTGTCTAAATCTGGTGAAACGCGAAGCCGATGAATATGGGGTCCTAGCAGACATCGTCAACAGAGAATGTGAACGGTTCAAGTTACGTTCGTTGACAGAAGACCAACCTAAATGCTTAATATTCATCAAAGCTCTTCAGTCACCACAAAACGCTGAGACCAGGACTAGACTTTTGACTCGACTGGATCAAGACCCGAATGTCAAACTCAAGACATTGACAGATGAGTGTAAGCTGCTACAAAGCATCAGACACGTCAACGAGTTGATTGAACAGGTAAATCCTAATTTCACCGGCAAGTGACAATGCTATTACTAGGTTACAAGTTCAGAAGCCGATAACAACTCGTAACAAAGCAACGACGGCATGTTGGTTATGTGGAGATTGGCATTATGTATGATTCTGCCCATATAAGCAGCAAAAATGTCAAGTGTACAACAAACGTGGACATAAACAAGTTCAATGTCCACCGAATCGTACGTCTGAGCCCAAGAAGAAGCATAAAAGTACTTGACATGTGGTGAAATTAGCCGAGTCTAAATCTCTTCCTCTGGTAGCTGCCTTTCAAACAGACTATGACATTCGGAGAAAGTATGTTACCATTCGGATAAACGGCAAATCAGCTCGTCTTCAAATTAACATGGCATCAGATATCACCTTAGTGTCTAGAGAAACTTGCTGGGGAAACCGTCAATAAAGCCATCTAAGGAAAGGCTGAAAACGGATCAGGTGGTGTGATAAAACTGGTTGGTGAATTACAGTGTGGATTTTCCTTCAATGGAACTAACTGTACAGGAATATGTTATCTAACAGAACGGTCAAACCTTAATTTTCTTGGCCTATATATGCTAGAATAACTTGGAATAATGGATACACCCATAAAGTGTCTGAAACGTATCGTGTACAGACACCCCAATACTTAGAATTAAGACAGATGAAAGGTTACGAGATGAACTGAAGAGAAAGTTGACCTCTGTTTTTCAGAATAACCTTGGACAGCGTACCGAGATAAAAGCTCACTTGCCAGTGGAATCAGATGGCACGTACAAACAGACGGCTCGTAAGAGTACTGGTGACAAGGAACCCAAGAAGCAGTTGGACCCTAGAACCAGATCCCACCGTCAGTCGGCCAGTTACAACGCAAAACTTCGTAAGTGAGTACATAAGTTCAGGTTGCCATACCATATTAGCACAGAGATTTAACTGTCAATTCAAATCCAATAGTAGTAGAGGTGTGTGTCTGTGTTTCAGGACTTGTCGCAGTGTGAACATGTGGTCTATACACCCACGACGTCCGGGTCTGAAACCAGCCTGGTTTTCTCTAGTCTGCTCTTCACGAGCTCTAGTTAGGCGTCTAAGTATAATCGAAGATAACAATTTAGAAACTATATTAGTTAGACTTATTCCCCTGTGATTGTCACAAGAGGACTTTTGCCGTTTTTTGTATACTGGGATAATCAGTGACTGAGATCAGTCAGATGGGATTCTGGCCAGTTTGCAGATTCTACCTAAGATCTCAGTCAATGTAACTGCTAAAACTGGACCACCATCTTTAAATGTCTCAGGAGTTCGCCTATCAGGATCCTCGGCTCCCCCTTGCTTTAGATTTCCTATAGCTTTCTCAACTTCATAAAGAATCGGAGGACTTACATCGATTTACCATTCAGGATGACTGGGGATCGTGGGCAACCGATGTGTGGCTGAAGGCCAGTTGAAATGATCCCTAAAATGTTCTGCCCATCGGTCCAGTCTCTTGGATTGAGAATGGATAATAAGACCATCCTTTTGCGAAATAGTCTCACTCACATTTGGGTTCCTAATACCAGTTTCCTTGATTTGCCGGTACAACTGTTTGCTGTTGCCTATCGCCGCTGCCTTTTCCATCTCTCTCTCTCTCGCTACCCACTATTGTTCTCGATCATTGCGTAGGTTTTTTGTCAGCCTACGTCTAAGCTGACTCCGCTCCTCATCGCACTCAGAGCCAGGCGGGATGAGTTTTCGAGCATCCATCAGTTCGGTAGATGCTACTGGGATCCACGCCTTCTTCCTAGACTTATGGTTTAGCTTGCTAGCAGATATCACTGCCGTTTCCACAGCCTTTTCGATATCACTTCAACCTGCCTCTGGATGGGGTTCGCCTACATGGTCACCTAACTGTTTTTCTAGTTGTTCCTGAAATATTTTCTTAGCTTTATTATCATTATATAGAACCCTAAGAGGTTTCCTCGCGGTGTTTTTCTTACGTCCCAAACAAATACCCGTTCACATTAGAGCATGATCTAAGTCTAAACATGTGCTCCAGAACGAACGACAGTCCTCTATCGAACCCCTCCATCGGTGGATGATGGCGATATGATCTAGTTGGGTCCAACGTTGAGACGACTTCCGGGGGTCGCCAGGTTAAAAGATGCTTTTCCTTATGCTTAAAGTTAGTGTTTGCTAGAAATAAGCCGTTTTCTGAGCATAGTTACAACAAACGGTCGCCATTATCTGTTCTCTGAGCCGCAACACCATAACATCTACCCAGGTGTCTTTGATTTTCGCTTAGTATACCTACTTGAGCATTCAAGTCACCGGCCATTATTACTACATCAGAGCGCCTAGCTTTATGAAGGAGGTCCGAAAGCTTTCGTGAAAAACTCATCTTTCATCTCGTCTGAACTGCAGTCAGTGAGAGCGTAGGCACATACGACGAAGAGGCAAAGGCGAGTGGCCCTACCTTTCCGAGTTCTTACTGTCCCGTTTAGTCGGACAGCGCACAAGCGACTATCCACTGGGATCCAGTCTAGGAGAGATAGTTCTGCCCTACGACTCGATGCTATACCTACACCAGCGAGACCCCTGGAAGCAGCATCAGGGCTACCGAATACACGGAGATTAAATCGGGCTGCTTCTTTATTTTGACAATGTGAAGTCAGATTAATAATTTTACTAGGACCCTGTATGCGCGTTTCCAAGACGCAGCATACATCGATTGAGCGAGATTCTAAAGTCCTAGCTAAGGAAGCTTGTTGCCCTATTTGAAACAATGTCCGTACATTAAATGCTCAAACATATTGTCTAGAACTGGGTTTCAGGAGGCCAGGAATGACGTTTCGTGAACTCGCATCGTTTGCATTAGATAAGGGAATGTGAAAAGAGTTAGTCGTGGAGAGAAAAGAGATATGAGGGGGTGTACGAAGGATATGGTTTCGTGTGCTGTTACGGGTATGAGGGCGGTTGTCACTTGCCGGCTGACCACACCGTGGAAGGTTGTTTCTTGAGGGACCTGAAAAGGAAGATAGATTAGTGTTGGTCTTAAAAACCTGAGAGCGTAACCACAGAGTCCAAGGGACAACTGCTTGAGGCCGGTCACGCACGGCCTTTTTATGAAGGGTTTTTTGAGTACTAGCTCCGCTCTTAAAAACCCTTAGTTGGCACCCTTACCGCCGGAGACGGAAATCCGTGAAGTAACGTGGTGTGATACTTTTAGGGTCGACATTTTCTAACCCCTTCCTTCCTTGTGAGAAGGCAGCATCGCTGCAGATGCTGGTTGTGTGAGGGAAACAGTACTGCTGTCACACCCCTCAGCAGTACGACTTCGCCCTCAGACCTTGAGTAGCTGCTTTTAGTCTCATCGTTCTCCAATCGACCTGCCTGGCATGGTAGAACCTACAGGAACATAAATTCCAGCCAATATAGCTCTGTTGGGTCATCACTATAGGCAAGCCCGACCATCATGTCAAGGTGATAGCTGCTACAGTCGGGACCAGAACCTACGAATCTGCTCAAAGGGGAGGTGTCAGTGGGGCATAGATTAGATTAAAGCATGATTGCGTTGTTGCACACTGATTGGCTTCACAAGACCACATGTGGAAGCATTTTCCCCCATAAATTTATGCACAAAATTACATGGGTTTTACCGGGTCACACCACCGAAGACCAGATTGATCACAACTGCATAAATTAAAAATCTACAAGGTTCGTGCAAAATGTAATAACAAAGAGGGGAACTGAGGTAGGTTCAAATTACCATCTGATAGTGGTCAACCTAAAATTGAAACCATACGAGTTCGAATAATTGGGCGAGGGACACTTCAAACGTTTAACACAGTCTTCCATAGAGATGTTAACAAGCTCTGCTGGAAGAGGAGGAAATCACTATGGAAAACAACTGGAAATGTGTTAATGAAGCAATAACTTCAGCATACCAGCAAGTTCTGGACCCTGAGAAGCACGAGACAGCCTGAGAAGGATTTAAGAAACAAAAAACAGTAAGACAGCAGTTAACAGTTCCTGAACAAGAGTATACAAAGCCAAGGTACAGGTTAAATGTTCGAAAGTAAACAAAGGGGTGAAAAAGAACATTAGGGCTGATAAGTGAAAATATGTAGATCTAACAACTACAGCAGAAAAAGGTGTGCAAAAGAACTATAACCACACTACGAACTTTGCACGGAAATATAGTGAAGTATAGCAATCAGTAAACGAAAACCAATTACCGTGAATCAAGAGCAGCGGTGCATGTACAAAGAGCGATTTGGAGAGCCATTAAACCGAGTAACACTGCTGAGCCAACTGAATATCGAAACAACACATAGTCCTTTCTACTAGATGATACCTTACCAAACAACATGGTATAAGGTGTATCATGATAAAGCACCACGACCAAATAGCGTTTCACTTGAAGCATTGAAGTCAGATATAGACGTTCCATGTTTATTTTCCAGAAAGAACAAGTAACGGTAAACTGGAAAGAAAGATACTTAATCACGATACCAAAGAAAGGAGATCGTAGTAATCGTGAGGGCTGCCGACAAATTACTATGGTGTCGGTACTAGGTAAGGTGTTTAATAGAGCTGATGAATTGAATGAGAAATTTGGTAGACTTCGGTATCAACAAGATGGATTTCGTAAGCATCGATCATATGCCAACCCAACAGAGAAACTGTTGGCCTATTCCCAAACAGGGATAATAGGCTAAGTAATGAGAACAGTTTCTATGCAAAAATCTTGAAATACAGTGGGATTCAATCTTATTCGGACCGAAACCAACTATATGAACAAGCTTGATTTACCTTAGGTTGGGAATGTAACTCTTAAAGATGACCGTTGAGTTTAGTGAATGAAACACATATACTTTTTCCCGATTGGCAAGAAAAAGTATCGATAAAAGGTAAAACAAACTTTGGTTGTTTAATTGCACTGTTTAAAAATAGTCCGTAAGAGAGACACTTGATTAAAGTTGTAATTTCAGCCCTTTCTTGATGCTCACTTATGAAGTCCCATATCCATCGTTCAATCGTCCAAGTCTAACCTTCATGCATATCTCGGCCGATACACGTTTACACTGTTTTAAGAAATGTTGATGCAGGTAAGAAATAGGATGAAAATGACCACGGTCACAGGTAAAGACATGAACTTGACTAACATAAAAGCAAGCAACATTAAGTAAGGAATATGGGTAAGAATACAAACTCACTGCTCCATTGGTGAATATTCTATTGTTTTAACACCCGAATGGGGAAAACGACCAATTCTTTCGAACTTCTCACCGCCCCATAAAATAACACCCAAAGGATGCATTGTTGCTAAATAAGTCCCTCTGGGTGACCATCGCATCCACCCATCAGTCCAACGAGAACGTTCTTCAGCCACGACTGGTTCGACAGCAGTATGCCAATAGACAGACCCATATTCGCCATCATTGTAGACAACAGCAAACTGGTCCCGACAAAATTCATTTAACAACCAACTCTTCAAATTACCCTAAGATTGATCTCTGTAAGTCAATAAAACGTAACTCACCACATCCTTGTATTCTTGTTTAGGTGGAGGTACCCATTCAGTTGAAACATTTGTTGCTCGTTCGAAATCTGACAACAAAGTAACCTGGAAAGTGTGGTTCTTGTCCAAAGGAACATTATTCATGGTCCGAACAGCTTGCGATGCTGCCTTTCCGTTTTCATAGGTAATGAAAATATATCCTTTTGTTTGCTTTTCATTGTCCAAAGGAAACTCATGGTCTACTATCGGACCGATTTTTGAAAATTTATCTAGTAAAAACTTTTTAAGGAGGTCAAATTTAGCGGGGCCAACGACGGGACATCCATCCACTATAATTGTCGAACCCAGATGGTCTTCAACTTCAGGTTTCTGATCCAGGATATCAGGAATAATTTCTGAACAGGATAGTGATTAATATTTAAACATTATTGAAACATGGACATCGGTTCAAAGGGGAATCTAAATATTTGTGCCCAACATATACACCATTGGTTTGGAATCAGGGTTTCTTAACTCCCCTAGGTGGATCCATCATAGCCACCAACCCAGTTTAAGCGTCGAATATTCGCTTTTCGTCGTCTCAATTTCGATGAAACCACATATCTAACGGTAAGTACTAGTTACAAAATTTTATATAATATCGACATTCTTGTTTCGATACACCAGAAGATGAGTACACTCTGTTCCCAGAACCTCATATGGCTGCCCATCTATACCCTTCCATCGAAATCCTACTGTTTCGACATATTGGGGGTGGTCACAAAACTAAGAGGATAAAACCAGGAGTCTTTGATTTATGCTAAGTGAGAATCAACCGGCTATCAAGCGGTTTCATCTTCTAATGTTGCTCCGTTACCTTGTGGAGTAGGTTAAGTCGGAGGACTTAGAAACGACCCGCTAAAAAATTTCCTGCTTTGGTATGGTTGTCTGGATACTAATCCATCCCTTTTCCAAATGTGTGATGCATTTTGTGTGCTTAAACAATTTATTTTTACACAATTGAAATCATCAATCAATCATTGTTAGACCACCATTAGAAACCTGAAAGCACTGATGATTTCAAATGTGTAAAAACGCAAACCTCCAAAACTGTGCCCCAAAATTTATTTTTAATCAGAGATGCTAGGAGAATAATGGAATCTTTATGATTACTTTTTGTCATGGATCGAGGTGAAAAATCACCTAGCTCCAAAATTTGTTATACGGAATAATTTTGGATGGTTAGAGTAACTTCATATATTTTTGACAATAGCTGAGACCAACCTAGTTTTGCTAAATGGATCCTAAACAAATGAAACTGAATACAGTACATTTCAGGGACCTTTTAAATTACAAAATAACGCTTAAATAATGAAACCAGTCAATAGCATCACTAGTTCGCCTGAAGACCAATATTATTAAACATTAAGTCATCCTTAGTCTTCAAACCAATTGTGTTAAATCGATATTTTCAAAACGACTTCAAAAACAAAGCACACGGAAGCAGTAAATTTAACTAAGCCCAGTTAGTAATTATAAATGTTTAACGGTGCTTCTGTTTATTAGAGATGACGACAATCAGATGTTTGAAAAGACTGGAGTTCGGCAATAAAACTTTTAACTATGTGGACCTGACATAAATGAATAGGAATCCCGAGAGAGAATTCGTAAGCTTCCCATAGCGAAAAGTTTACCACTTTTCATAACGCACAGTTAATAGTCAAAGCTTTTATTTATTATTCAATGTACCATGGTGACTTAAAGACCGGATATATGAACCTGTACTTAGTAGGCTAAATATGACCACACAATTACAGCAGACAAATTAGAGACAAGAAACAGAATCTGGATTGTCAGTCAGCAACAACGAAGAACTTCATACGTACGTGCATTAGCTTAAGTTGCCATACCACATCAGTACAGCAACCCGATTGTCAGTTCAAATCCCATAGTAGTAGAAGTATCAACAGTAATCGGATAGATTAGGGTTTGAGGATATCATTCAAGAAGTAGAATCTAGTAAAATAGATTTGAGCTGAGAAAGATGGTGATGAGGAGTTCAGATTAGAATTTGGGAGAACACAAAGAGTAAGTGCCCCCGCGTTATTTCAAATGGTTTGGAGCCATATCATTCAAGGTCTCCAAGCATCGGTTACTATAATTTCGCAGACCCCAACGAGGTAGTCTACACTTACCAACATGACTCAGCCCACTTGTCAGCCTCCATGGATTTGTGCCATGTTCTGGTCCAGGAATGCCTATGAATCTGGAGTGTGTGAAACCAAGTCCAATGCGAAATTATCACACTCTTCTAAGTGTGATCTAGCTATCAAGAACTGCTGTGATGAAAAAAGAGTGGAAACAACATAGGCATCATGTATACAGTCCAAGAATAATATCGACCATGGAAATGCCTCCTCTTAATATCAAATAAACAGATTTCAGTCAAGAGAATGCAATATTAGTAGCCTACGTTAGGGTCCAGGTTGTCCTCCCTTGAAGGAACATGTTTCCAGGGAAAATTGCTTACAATAGCGGTCTTTTTGTCACTCCTGCATTTGAAATGGACCAGGTGAAAAAGGGCCTTAAAATAGATAGATTCTTGAACAAATAACCTAAGACCATATCGTTAACAATTCGCTTAATGGTACCAACGAAGACAACCTGAAATTATTTAATATTGTACGTGTTAAGTGATGTTCGGAGAACGTGTCATGAAAATGCCGATTCCGACTTTCAGTGCTGGGTCGAATACGTACAATAGTGTAATAATTGCACACGAACACTAATCTTGCCAGGATATCCAGTAAACCTACTAAGGACTATATGTATTGTCAACAAACCACACATACTTAAAAACTGTGTACAGTTTACACAATGAAGCCAGGCTCCCTCTGAAGTAATCCGATTATCTTTCACTTTGCTTTAATTACAAGACTAGTTTTCGGAGTGTAAGTTGGTAATTCAAGGTTATAAAATAATTCCACTCAATACTGCATGTCAGTGATGCACTGCAACAAGATTTATCCCTGACTATATAAAACCCGAATGTGACTGATAATGGGAAAATATTGTATGCGTGTGCAAAATTAGTCAACATCGCACCATTATCTCAAGCATATGTTCGTAACTGCTGTAAATATGGTACATTAGCCGTGGGCGGGTACCGACGGATGTCTCGAATAACATGCTTAACGTAGGTTTATGCTTTAATTACCTGTATCGTCAACGTTCAGGCCAGCAAACGACGGCATCGTGAGAGAACTCAAGTTTGCCGCGAATGACACAACCCAAGGACACTGGAAATGTTTAACACCATTCCTAAAAGCTAGGATAAATTGACTGATTTCTTTGAGTTCAATTCTTGTCGTATGCGTACGATTCTAAGTACTCGGTATTGTTCAATTAATAGCATTCTAGCCTATAGATTATCATATGAGTAAGTTTGTCTCATTGAATTCGAGGTTCTGGATACTTACAGCTAGCACATTACCAGGCCGAAGATAAGTTGGTTGCAATGTGGAAAGTGTCAGAAACTTGTGAGAAGACTAAAATGAAGGATATAAATGGAAATAGAGGTGATAATCAGCCAGATAGAATAGGTTAGGGATATGGGGGAGCAATAGTGATAGCAAAAAATGAATTGCGAGATGTTTATCAAGCACAGCTAGTCCAAGCGGGTGGTGACAATTTGTATGTGAGTAAATTTTGGTCAGGATCTTTCAGCAAGCTATTCACTGATGGGGCTCGGAAAGCATATCAAGTAAGGACAACTCATAATAAGAAAATAAGGGCGCGTACCTAGATGCTTAATTTTTGATGCGATATTTTTTGAGGGTTACCTTAGGAGGCGTGGTAAGGATGCCTCGATTGGATTCTTATGTTGGGATGATGCGATATAGTATGTTATTATTATGTCACGTCTTATTCTGTCGTAACTCACTGAGAATAACCGCAAGTATCTGAGTCTCTCTCATTTAGTTTTATTCTTTAACCGCACCGCCCGTTTAGGTACATGTCTCAGGGGGTATATCTCTCTTAAGGAGATAAAATACAATGAAATGGTGAATTTCAGGTCCTGGTCATGCGCACGTACGATAGTAAGTTATGAGCATTTCTGGTTGTACCAAATGGTCTTTGTATAAAGTGAGGGTTATCAGACCAAAATCACGCTCTGAGGAGACATCTGAGAGCGGACTCCCACTTATGACAGAAGTCATCTGTGTCACGCGAGACTGAATGTTCATGGCATCACATTTCGACAGGTCGGGATTTGACTAAGTATTCACTGCTCATTCTCCGGTTGCTGGAAGATTATATTGTAGCTCAAATCCTCTTTTCTCCTCGTGGACCTCCAGGTCTTTGTGTTGTCTAGACAGATTAGTGTGGCTGAGGTAATCTCATTATTAGTACGTACCAAGAACAAAGGTGGACGTAGAACAGTCCCCAGTGCAACCCCTGTCAACTCTCATGTACTCTATCTACCTTTGTACGACATTTCTTGTTGTGAAGGTATTTTCTGAGCCAAGATAAAATTGAATCAATCTCATCTTCTCAGCCTTCGATATTATGAATATGTGTAGTACAGTGTTAAAGGCTTTCGCGAAGTCCGGCAGGTTGACCAGCTGTTCTAGGCTACGAGAATGTTGGGTGTTCGCGACCTACCGTATACACACCCATCACTTACGCTAGCATTCGTAGTATTGCCGCAGTTCCGTAGCAGGCTGGATTTTTCGTATCACCTCCTTTTAATTGCTTGAGTAGCTCCAATATCCAATATCTTTTTCACGAGCTGGTATTAACCAACTGATTTACTTGCGCTCGATTCTTGTTCTTTCGGTACGGCTTCAGATGTTGCAGATATCACATTACCAGACCGGAGATCAGTTAGTTGCAATGTGGAAAATAATAAGGATAGAATTCTGATTCTAATAAGAGGATTTCAGAACTGAGTAATATATAGATAATTTAGTTAATTAATTGGTAGTGAAGATTGTGAAAGAGGACCGAAGTGTAAGGAAGGGAGAGGAAACAGAGATAATACGCAAGATAGAATAATTGAGTGATTTGTATAGATGGCAATGATAACAACTAGCAGGTCTCAAGACATGCATCAGGTACAGCTTGTCCAAGAGGGAGATGATAATCAGTATGTGAGTACGTGATTATCAAGTCTCTTCTTAAAGCTATTCAATGAGGGGATAGTGGTCACCTCGGCTGTGAGAGCATTCCAAGTTGCGACGACTCACAATGAGAAAAAGTGTGCTCTTGATGCTCTTTGATGCGCAATTTTTTCAAGATTCCCTAGAGGGGAGTGGATGTGATGCACCTGAAAGATGCTCGCGTTAGGATGGTTTGGCGTGCTTAATATGTTGTGCGCCATGATCAGATCACTTCTGATTCTCCTGTAACTCAGGGGGAATAATCCCAAGTTTTGGAGTCTGTCTTCGTAAGATTCGTTCTTCAACCCTATCACCCATTCCGGTCCAAAAGATTTATTTCTTTTTTAGGCAGAGGGGGCGAGATGACGTTGTCAACCTCTAGGTGTGGTCGCGCGTATCTCTTAACTAACGTTGCGAATAAATGTGGGGTGATAGCACCAAGTTGTCTTCGCATAACGTTAAGAGTCGCATTTGCCTTGGCTGCATCCCCTATATATTTCGGGCTCGTGTGGAGGCTTTCTGTACTTATACAACTGAGATCGCGCCCTGAGGAGACATTAAAGAGCGGACTTCCATCGAGGGCGTAACTCGTTCGCGCCATGCGGGGCAGAATATACATGACGTGACACTTCGTTTGGCTGGGTTTTTGAAGCGTTTTTCACTGACCATTCATCAATAGATGTAAGGTCCTTTCGAAGCTCAGCCGAATCCTCTTCGCTTCTAATGAACCTTCAGATCTTCCATCGTCTGCGTAGAACAATGCCGGTGGGCTAACTGAGCCTAAAAGGTCGTTAATAAATATCAGCTAGAGAAGTGGACCTAATATGGTCCTCTGTGAAACTCCCAATGGGGATACTCGCCAGCCCGTGTGCACTCTATTTAGCGTGGTAGGAAACTTTCAATTCTCAGGGTAGTTTCTGAGCCAAGATACGCGCGGGTAAGTGAAGCCCATTTCCGCAACCTTTGCGTTTCGGCGTGCGGGAGGTGCTGTGACATAGGCTTTTGCAAAGTCGAGAAATATAAAGTGCACCGGAGGGAGAGCAGCTTGTTTCCATTCAGCTGGGAGTTGGTGTGAATCCAGTGAATGCCTGAACAAGTCACACGTTGGTAAATAGAGGGTTTCTGCAAATTGTTTCAAGACTATTGGGAGAATATTGTCAGGACTTGGTGACTTTGCTGGGCGTAAAGTTTCAAGTTTCCTCAGTATTGAGTCAGGAGTGATGCGAATGTCCCCTATGCCGTCAGCTGGGACTGGGTTTTTGTAGTATTCTGAAAATGTGGATGCCTGGTTTAACTGATCAGTGAAGTGTGTAGAAGATCTCAGCCATCTCTGGGTCTGTGAGATGTAGAATTCTTTTTGAATGTTTTGTGTTTTTGGAAAATCCCTCCATGTTTACATATTTTTGCTATGACCTGATGGACTTTTTCTCTTGACATTTTTGGTATTTTATTTGATTCCAATTTGAGATTTTATCATTGTATATTGTTATTCTTTCTATATTTGTACTTATATTGAAGTTTTTGGGTTTGCTTCTGAATTGTACATATATTGTTTAAATTTGATATAATATGGCTACCGCCACATTTTCGGACGGACGCAGTGGCTGCTGGACTTAACTTCACTTATTAGTTATTGTGTTGGATACTCTGCGGAGTAACTTAACCCTGGAAGAAACACAAATTCCGTAAGGCCTTGTATTTCCATTTTCTAATAATACAGAGACGTTTTCTCCTAGAATTTTGTCCTTTTTTGCATTGGTTGGGACCCGGGACTAGGAAAAACGTACAGGAGTGTTTCTATTGGAAACAATTGGGACAGCCACTGTCGAAATAAAAATCTGCAGTCTGGAATTTCTTCTTTCGTGGATTATACTTTGGAATTATTCATCCGAACATATATATTTCGGAACTATTCGGATTATTAAGAATTATAAAGAAACATTTGGAATTTTAATCGTTTATCACACTAGACTTCCTGGGAGGAAGAAGCTGGATTAATAATCGTATTTTTGAACCAAACTGTGGAATTACTATATTTTGTATTTGTTACCTTTTCTACTGAACTTTATTTATAATGTCAAGCAGAAAAAAATCACACATGAGGACGGTGGAAGAGCTCGACGGATCACAGGGCTCTAGGCAAGTCGTTAATGATAACCTTTTTATGGGTAACCCACATGTTATGTCTGATATTTATTATTGTAAGTCATCGATAGAGGGTTTAGAACTACCTAAGGTTGAACTCTCATTTTTTGATGGAAGGTCTCGCGACTATTTTAGGTTCATACGACAAATAGAGACGTTTATAGAACCCCGAATAAAGGACGATCAAGTTCGTTTATTGTATTTAATTCATTATTGTAAGGGAAAAGCAAAAAATGCGATTGAAGGCTGTATTATTATGGATCCACAATCAGGATATAAGAGAGCTAAGGCCATTCTAAAACAGCTCTTTGGACAGTCGCATGTAATAGCGCGAGGAACCTTAGAGGACTTATTTAGAACTGGGAATGTAGAATTTAATGACCCTGAATCATTGACGAACTTGGCTATTAAAATGCAGAATGCTGCTTTAACTTTAGAACAGCTCAATTGCACAACGGAACTTAACTCTATGGCTACTTTAGAACGAATAGTAAGGCTCTTACCTCGTCGAATGCAAGCCCAGTGGGCAGAGCTAGTAATCAAGTGGAACGAAGAGGAGAGAGAGCCTAGTTTCAATGAATTGACGGAATTTATTATGTCTCGTGCTAAGATAGCTAGTAGTAGGTTTGGAAGATTAGCTTATCAGGCTAAAACAGGAAATAATACGGAAGCTACTAGTGGTCTGCGTGCGAGACATTCGGATTTTTCGTTTCTACCTAAAGCACGCTCGGAAGATAAGCGATTTGTCAATTATATCACGAAAGCATACGCTGATGAAGGACGAGTATGTGACCGTAACGATGTAAAGCCTCTTGATGCGTGTCCTAGCAAGAAGCCGGGTGGTGTAACTGATAAGATGGCTTTTCTAAGTATAGAAAAGAAAGAAAAAGGTGAAAAGTGTAGGCATCAAGATGGATCCGAAGTGTTTGATGATAAAAGCCTCTTAGCTGCTCGAAAAGCCTGGAACGGTAATTTGGATTCGAGTAATCAGA